CGACACAAAACTCTGGACAGCTACCGCCATCTTTGATCAACGGTGGCAACCAGACAACCGGCTTGCCGGCCTCGCTCACAGATGACGGCAACCTTTCCAGCCTTTCCACTCTGGTTTTCACCAAAGTGGAAGGGCTGAATTTCTCTAGGCATCGTCCTAGATGTTGTCCTTGAGGTCTTCCTAGAAGTCCTTGAGGTCGTCCTAGAAGTCATCCTTAAAGTCCCAGAAGTCTAAGAAGTCATCCTTGAGGTCGTCGTAGATGTTGTCCTTGAGGTCGTCCTAGAAGTCGTTCTTGAGGTTGTCCTTGAGGTCGTCCTAGACCTCGTCCTTGAGGTCGTCCTTGGCGTCGTTTTCGAAGTCGTCCTTGAGGACGTCCTAGACGTTGCCCTTGAGGTCGTCCTAGAAGTCATCCTTGAAGTCATCCCAGAGGTCGTCCTTGACTTTGTCCCTGAGGTCGTTCTAGGCATCGTCCTTGAGGTTGTTTCTGAGGTCGTCCTCAAGGTTGTCCTAGAAGTCGTCCTTGAGGTCGTCTTAGACGTCGTCTCCTTGGTGGCGGCGTCCTAGACGTCGTCCAAGAAGTCGTGCTTGAGGTCGTCCCATCATAGTGCAGCTTCGCTGGTCTTTTTTCTTCACCAAAGTGGAAAGGCTGAAAGATTTTTTTTTAGTTAAGGTGTGAAAGCTACATTTATGCTGTTTGTGTAGGTGAGTTTACAGCCAGAGGGACATAGTGTAGGGGGCTAATTGTAACAATCGCTCTGCTAATTAAGTAAAATGTGTTACTTAACTTTTTAATTAGTGAAAATAGGCATGGTTCCACTTAAAAACTTGTTGAGCATCATCAGTGATGGAAGTGCTGCGCCAATTGCGCCAAGGACGCAATCCTGCTACATGTAGCGCCAAATTGTCATTTTACCGAAGAATTGCGCCATGCCTGGGCCGAGATGAGATGTAGCAATAAAAAATAAAAATTGAAGTCTTATCGGAGCGCGTGGTGGTACCGCAGTATTTTCCGCGCTGCAACTGTTACGCAAACCGAAACTGCGAAGGCGCATTCTCATCATCATTAAAGGAACAACGTTGGCAACATCTGAGACCAAAGCCGCAGAGGCTAAGCGAAGAACCATCCCACTGAATAGCCTATTTAAAAAAAAAAAAAAAAAAAGGCCGAGCTTGTGGATGCTTTTAATGTTGGCCCACCCTGTTCCCGTGCGCTAGCTATCAGCGAAGTCAAAGCTAGCGCGAGCCCAATACTTTGCGCATTCCTGACTCGCGCGTGGACTCGTGCAGTGTGGGCACCGTTACGGGCTCCATGCGCGCGCTTGTAGCTTCGGCTGCGCTCGCACCGAAGCTGAAACGAAGTATAGTTGAGTTGCACCAAGCTCTGGATGTAGTGCTGGTAAAGCCTCACCGTCCTTTTCGGAGCACAAAGCACTGCGCGACTGCGGTGTCTGCTCCGCGGGTGTCGCTTCTCTGCAGCGCGTCCGTGCATGCCAAGGAGCGCACTGAACGGGTTAGCTCGCAGTGATCCGATCGTGACTTCGCCAGCACATCGAAAATGAATCAGAATTTTTTAAACGAATATCAGATACCGCAGTATTTGAAGCTGCTGCCCGAAAGACAACGCTAATCTGTACTAAAACATTCCACAACAGTATCTGCAGCAGCAATGCTGCTGCAGATACCTTAAAAGAAGCGCAGGCTGATAAAACTAAATATCCTGTACCATCAGGACTCAGTGTGACATATTGAATTGTATTTTTTTTTATCTGACGAGCTGATAAACTTTAAAAAAATGTTTTTGGTTCTTTTTGTGTTTACTTTGTTGAATTTTATATATCCTGTCTTAAAAAGGCGACAGGCGCTGTGTTCCAATAATAGAGATGGGCTTTATATAACAATGCAGCATTATTTCATTTTCAAGTAATATGCCAACATATGCCGGACCCTGCTCCAAAAGGGCCACTACCTGCTCCAAAACAACATTCAATTGCCTGCTACAAGGCCTGCTCCAAAAGGTCAAATGGCACTTCCATCACTGCATCATCAAAACCCACTAAATCAGTCATTTTTAGAAAGGCGTGAGAAGCACAGCAGTGCGCTAAGGTTGCCACTCGTGTAGCTGGAGCGAGGCTTCGGGTGCGATGAGATGCTCGTGCAATATCTCTGTCTCTTATCATGGCCCCAACCTTGTACCTGTGGCCCAATTGGTACCTTTAGCGCACTATTACACTCCTCACGTGCTCAAACTATTTCTAAAAATTATTGCACTGTTGCATTTTTCTGAAGTTTCGAGAAATATCTGCAGTGACTGCTTAAGCCAGAGTATGGGTGCCCCGACATCCAATCATGGACAGCGTTTTGTAACACTCGGGCAGTTAAGGCCCGTTCACAATCTTGCAACCGAGTACGACAGAGAGAGACCAGACCAGTTTTTAAGCCTCTTGCGACGTCTTAGAACCAGCTCCGCAGCAGCGCATCCGGTCCTAAGACATCGTAAGAGGCTTAAAAACCGGTCTGGTCTCTCTCGGTCTTACTCGGTTGCATAAGTGTGAACTGCGCTTGAAAAGAAATCTTTTTGGGGACGTTTAGAATCCCTTAAAAGGTTGAATCTAAGGTGTGTTTTCTCTGCTTGTTCCGAAATAAAAGAGTGTTATTGGTAAGTGTACTGACACTGCAGCTCCGGCATTTTCATGCTAGGAAGTGTAGGAAATGCCATATTCCTAAAATACTCATGTTTAGAGCCCTGCATGACCGTGGATTATCCGCAGTAAACTGGCAGAGTCGGATAAAAATAAATCCGACTGGCGGATTTCGGATCCAATGCAGATACCAGCGGATGTGGATCGGATATCCGCGGGCCCGGATCCATTTTTGCCGAGGCGGCCCATAGACATGTGCGACTGTACAGTTTAAAGTGAAAGTGCATCATCGAATGTATTGCAGGTACAAACTATCCTCTTAGATAACAGGTGCCAATTGAGAAGGATATTGTTCTCTACATCAATAAAGACATTCGATTCTCACCAAAGATCGCTTTAGAACGTCATATCTCGGCAAAAATAATGTTCCCAGAAAAGGTAAAGAACGTAGAACTATCGGTCATCCCGGGAGGAATGTTCTTGTTTGGCAAAGGAAGAGCGGAAAACGTTCTTTGGGCAAAGAAAACCCAAAACATACAAGCCACAAGAAAGTAGAAGCTTGCAAGTGACTTCCTCGCTTACGAGAAGCATTGCCTTTTGTGACCCTGTATGTTTGGGTAACCCCCCCTCCGAGTACAAATAAAGTATTAGTAAAGTATTCGTAAGGATGTATTGTGGAGACTGAATTCGATCCTCTGGAGTGGTGAAACTTGCACCAGCACGAGTTTCCGGACCTCATTCTTGTAGTGCTGTTCGTGCATACCCTCCCAGCATCAAGTGCACCGACGGAAAGAGAATTCTCATTAGCGGGTATTAACTTGAGAGATGAACCAGTCTGAATCTGTCCGAGTTGACGATATTGTTTCTTCTACACAGACACCTCGACAAGTGAAACGTTGCCGTGTGTGCGAGTTTTCTTTTTCTCGACAGTTGGCACCGAGTTGTTTTCAAGTATACGATTCCAAGCATGCAGTTCAGGGTTTGTGTTTAAAACTGAAACCAATAGGTGTTGCCATTATTGAATATTGCAATATTTTCCCAGTGGTGTACTCACGCCTTACCACATACATAAGAGTATTTTGCTGCAGCAAGTGAATGCCTTTCCTCCCACTTTTTTTATTCTATGGCCTCAATAAAATGACACAATCTGATTAGTCTGTCCTTTGTCAATTTTCATGTTTATAAAATATGCATCTGCTTGCACGAAGTCGGTTTTACAAAGCAAAAAGGAAAATAAATGTAAATATCCTTCCTTTTGAGTGCATCTACTGGACAGAGTGTCAGTGTCACGGACTCCCAAGACAATCTCACAACTGCTATCATCTTTCGAGCAGTGCAAAGTGTTTCTGGAAAAATGATTGCCTATTTTATAAATACGATAAAACAGAATACAATAAAATGACTTTCACCATATTCTTACACGTAGAGTGCTTTATACAAAAATAAGCACACGGCTTATAGAATACCATTTAGATGTTTTTTGTTTTTGTTATTTATACTTGATTTTATGCTGCAAAATGAATGCGCGGGTTGAGAGTCGGATGCGGTTCCGAATTTTGCGAATGCGGAACAATTATTTAAGAACATCGCAGATGTAGTTCGATGCGGATGCGGATGCGAATGATCAAACTGCTATCCGCGCAGGGCTCTACTCGTCTTTTTCGGTTAAACCCAAATTCAGAAAAATTAATTTAGCATCCATTTATCGGTTTTTACGGCTTAAACCGAAAACACCACTATAATATATTCCATGCCCATTATTATTTTAGACATATTGGCAGTGCAAAAGTTGCCTACAGGTTATATCAATTTACAAATTAAAAATGAAACGTTTACAAATCTCCAATGCGAAACTAGAGTGCAGCTCTTGAGGAGGAGGAGTAAAGGGTATGCCCCTCCTCTTCCGTACCTTCCCCTCCTCCTGGCGCTGAAATTGGTCATGGGTGACGCGACACAAAGTCGTGATGTCATTTTCCCTGCCAAATTTAGCGGGGAAACTGAATTGGTGTTGACGTCACGTGACGTAAATCTTCCCGCTGGGATAATTTTCCGGTTAACTTTAGCAGAAAATTTTTGTGCTAAATTTAGCGGGGAAATGTTCCATATTGCATTGCGCGCGATTACGCTGACGCCGCTCAACCCAGAAATGGGCGCCTAAGAGCTGCGCTCCAAGGACGTATACCCTGTATGAACTTTAAATTTTTTAGATGAAACCGTTACCCCTATGTCACGAATCATCAGGCGACAGGCTGCAGATGAAGCCACTTGTTAACACCATCCCCCATTAATCGTGTTTACAATCGTCCTTGGGACTTTTCTCTAATGTACTGTAGCTTGAGCATGCAAAAATATGACAAAATCTAAAATACAGGTTCGTTTATTTGACAAGCCTTGTCTCAGAAGAGCAAAATTGCAGCAAACATTAAAATGTATTTTTACAAACAATGGCAACACTGGCATTGGTTCTTCAACACTTTTTTTCTTGCATAACAGCTTGTTGAGTGCATCGCCTACAGGGTTACGTTTAAGCAGAAATTGAGAACAAACCTAAGTGCTAGGCAGACAACATTTTTAACAGCACCGGTTTTGACAAAAGATTGACAAAACAAAAAGGATTTTGTAGGCATGTCTACACTTGCTTTACATGCAAAGTGTTTGTGGGACGAAATCCCACAAACACTTTATAATTACTTGTAATGAAGAGCGTGCTGGTAGGGGTAAAATATAAATAAGGGAAGAACATAAAAACGAGGACGAACAAGACTTTTCCCGTGTTGTTTGTCCTCGTCTTTTATGTTCTTCCCTTATTTATATTTTACGATTGTTTTTTGCCTCGACTAAGTAACATACATAACCAAATTTAAAAAGAAATATATATTGACAAGATAAACATCTTCAACAATGCATAAGGACTAGAACAATATGCCATTATTTTTTTTATTTGTGACTGCTGGCTGTCTTTTTCTTTTATCTTCACCACACACTAAAGCGACTTAATGACCAGTAAAAAGAAAAGGTTGCTCAATGGAATGTTTTGCAATAAAAAATGACCTGCTCATACAGCACGCAAAAAAAGAGTGAAACATTAAAACTGTGAAGCATGACTCGCAACGATAGCAACAAAATGAGCGGAAAAATCCGTGCCTGCACCCCGATAGCTGAAGTTTTCGTCAAAGGTCTATTTTAGAGGTACTACCGTAGGATAACATCAAAGTGGTGACTTTCAGGGACATCTGTGAAGTGCTTAGTTTCTGGGCAAACATTTGGAAAGATTTCCATCGTGTGAACTGACTGTAGGTAGAAGCAAGCAGTTTGCAAGTGCTGCAAAGCATCCCCTGGTTTTCTTAGTGTTGCACTCTTTACAAGGTATCTACCGTCCCACAAAACATGTCCGCAAGACCACGAGGATGTGCGATAAGAAACAAAAAATGTTAAACTAAACTTCAATAAAAAAAAAAAAGAAAAGATTTTTCCATGTATGGTAATTTATTTCCTTAGATCTCTAGCATTTCCCATGACAGTCTAACATTTGCGTGTTATCTCCATTTTTTTTTCTTGCTCTAGAAAAGGCATTTTAGTAGTTACACCTTGAAGACTGACAGTCTCTTTTAAATTAATCTTTGACTTTTGCTGGGGCATACTGATGCCCTTTGTTGGTTTGGCACATTAACTCCCAAGTTTTCCTAACATCTAGAGGTTAAAAGGGACAGAAAAAAAAAACCTACTAAACAAATCGGTGACACGCCGATATAAAAAAAAAAAAAGTAGAAGATAGGCACTTCTCAGTGAAATGATGCCACAGTTTGTGACTGAAAGATATTTTCACATAAAAGATACAGAAAAATTAAAAAAAGCACTGCAGGCATCAAGCATCGATGATTCCACTGACTAAAAATCTATCACGACAAAAATGCAAGGCACAAAAAGGTTAAAAAAAAGCACATGTAGTACATACATAATTATCAAGCATCCATAGACTACCCCAAATCCACATGCTAAAAGCGACATCCATCAAGAGAAAAACGATTCGTCCATACAGAAAGAAAAGGGAAGGAAAGAAGAGGATCAAGGGGAGGACTTCTACTGGTGGTTGTGGCAGACGTCCTTCCCCCTGACGCAGCTGCACTTGCACGGAGTGCCCGCTCTGGTCAGGGCACTGCACAGCCTGCGAGATCGGCTGCTGGTGGTCGAGCTGAAGCTGGAAGGAAAGCAGGGACATTAAAAAACACATCCAGATAACATGTTTCCGCCATTGTGGTGAAGATTGATCATTCCTGGAAGCCTTTCTATGGACAGGCTCTATTCTTTACCACCTCATTTTCCAGCCTATAAGGCACCCTATAAACGACAGTTTTCACCAAAAAGTAAATCACACTTGTTTGCACGGTTGTCGCTGTGAAAGTGAACCGATATGCCTGAATAGGCGTACCACTGTGATCACAACACATGCACAATAGCCAGTTTAAACAATCTTGCCAGCAAATCGATTGAGAAATATTGTCACAAATGGGGAGGTGACGAAACAAAGAATAACCGAGTTAACTAAAACGTTTAATGAGGCGGACTTGTGTTCAAAACAAAAAGTTGACAGAAGACACGAAGTCGGCGTAACAGCAGGATCCTACGCTGGGGCGAGACTGACTGCACCTCGCCACGCGGAGCCCCTTATGTACACGCGCTTGCTTCTGGAACAATCGGCTTAGAAAGTTTGGCGTGTAGAACATTAGGACATCGAACAAGCAACAGGGTTCTCGAATTTGCCAGAACATTCAATTGAAAGAATAAATAAAAGACTGGTAACTCCCAGGAATCGAGCCCTGGGCTTCCACACGAAAGTCAAGCGCGGTAACCACTTGGCCACGCACGTGCTCGCTCGCTCGCCGACGCGCGTGGCAATATTGCCATGCGCGTTGCCGAGCGAGCGCGTGTGTGGTCGAGTGGTTAGCGTGCTTGGCCGTCGCGCGAAGGATCCGGGTTCGATCCCAGAGAGCGGAACCTTCTTTTATGTATTCTTTCTACTTGGCGTTCTTGTCCGATCCAGTTGCGAATGTTCTACAAGCTGAATGTTCTAGGCCGAATGTTCCAGAGAAACACGCGAGTACAAAAGGTGCTCTGCATGGCGAGCCGGGGTCAGCTTGGCCCCAGCGTTCGACTCTGCTGTCACACCGACTTCGATGCCCGCGACACTCTGCTTTCCTCTGTTCCTTTCATTTTATTTTTGGGCACAAGTTCGCCCCATTAAATGCAGTTTCTTCAGTTATCATTGTCTTGTCAATTGTCATTCGTGACAATATTACTTCCCCGGCAAATTTGTCTTAGTATGCCCGCCGCCGCATCAACAGGAAGCTGCCATATTGCCAGGCGCAGATAATAAGGGAAGCTGATCAACTGTACTCGAAGGCTATACCCGTCAGATCTCGACCCACATCTTGTGCATCTTGTACAGTGAAGGTCAATACTCAGTGTACATAAAAACGCATAAAAGTTGCACCATCACGGAAGATGTACAGACGAAAATCTTGAGGAAAAAAAAACTACTTATACACCGGACAATTTTGTAATTTTTTGTTGTATCAGAGCATGACTTACATTCGCGGTGTCGTATCGCCACGTGCTTTGTTTTCCTGCATTGATCGCGTGTGCCGTGGATTTGATTGTAATCGGTGCTGCCACTAAAAAGGGCGCACCGTTGTACTGTTGTGTTGTTGCACGAGCTGGGACCGATTTGAAAACGACGAAGACAATGTGTGTATGACGATTGGAATGCATTGCTTTTGGCCTTGTATGTAAGTCTTCTGCTTGGATGTCTGAATAAGTAAATGGTTGACTCAAACGAAGTTTCTTAATTACAACATTTTTGACTAAGAACTTGCGGCTCTAAAGCAGCAGTAACTTTGAGGGGTCATGAAACAATTCGCCAACTTGCGCTAAATACTATTCAGAAGGGCTCGTAACACATGGCAAAAGTTTTTTTTTCTGTCCACACATTAACAATTGTAGAACAAATATGAGAAAAGCGACCATCATTTGTCTCCTCAATATGCAATCGGAACAAGAAGCCACACTATGTAGTGTCGGTTGTATGCTGCTTACTGTACGCTTGTCAAAGCTGTGTACTGGGGTTGGCATACCTCGGCATTCTCACTCATGAGAGTGAACACTCATGATCACTCGCGCTCACCATCAGATTTGATATGATCGCGAGTCTCGCAAAAATTGTGAGTGTGAGTGTGATCGTGAGTTCTGAGAACTTGGGAGTATGAGTGCGAGTTCTGAGAACTCTGGAGTATGAGTGCGAGTCCTGAGAACTCATGAGCGTGAGTCTGCTCGTGAGTTCTGAGAACTCATGAGTGTGAGTGTGAGTCCTGCAAACTTATGAGCGCAAGTTTAATTGTGAGTCTGATTGTGAATTTTGAAAACTCTTGAGTACGAGTAAGTCCTAAGAACTCGCGAGTTCTCAGGACTCAACCGGACCTGAGGTAGGAGTACTGCTCGGATGCTTACATGACTTCACTTGGAGGGCTCACAAGACCCGAGATCTCGTACGGGTGTTTACAGATTTTGCGTTTTCATGGTTGATAACAATAAACTATTGCTATATCGGGCCTGAAATGTTCACTACAGTACACACAGATGAGCACTGTTGAATACTATATAAAGAAGATTACGCTTCCAGCAAGCGCTGGAAGTATAATTGGGGCCACAACTATGAAGCATAAGCTTTATACTCATAGCCCAACATCCACTACAATCAAGAACAATGTCCCAGAGAAATTGTATATTTATTTTAAAACTCTTTTTTTTTAAAGTGGTTCTTAGTCTTTCCTGAAAGTAGTAAAGGCTGAGGGCATGAGGTTATGGCCTGCTAAGCTGCCTTCTTTTGTCAGACTGTTAGAAGCTTAAACTTGCAGTCATGTTCCCAGTCAAGAAAATCCTAGGATCTAGCGTGATGGTCGACATATTGGAAAAGATACGCACCTGACAAGTCATTAGAATAAAAGTGAATGCACATTCACATTTTTAAAGAAAATGCAACAAACAGCACACAAAGGGTACTGCTTGAAACATTCCATTTACCTTCTTGCTGGAGAAGATTGCCGCGTGTTTGAATGAGGCAGGTCCAGAAAGCTCAGGAGATCCCTCTTGACAGGGCTGCCAATGTCCTGATGGCAAACAATTTGTCACACTCATTGCTCATGTCATGTTAAAAGAAAATCTTAAAAACCTTCAGCATTGTTTCTCAGTCAATCTATTCTATTCCTGAGAATAATTGGGAATAACCTGAGGTCTACATGTAAAATGAATTGCACCTGGTGCTGTCACAAATGTTGGAGAGGAATGGAGAGCATAAAAATGATGGTAAGCAGAGAAAACGTTCAATCGCTTGTCACATTACAGGAATTGCAAGGTTTTCAGAAGGTAAATGGCTCTAAACCCTCACTAAAACACAACTTGAAAACAACAGACAACTCTGCTTTGCTTTTGCACCTTGCAGCCCCACTTCTCGGCTAAAGATGGCTTCTGAACAGATTTGTAAACATGCAGACTTTGCAGCTGCAAATTTAAGGGCGTGGCTAAAGATGTCGATCACTCGAGAACAAGCTGTTTGCTCGGCCTCGAGTACCACATTTTTTTAACTATAACTTGCAGATTTGACTTGTTTAATTGTTAACATTTTATGCGGTGTGGACAACCTACAGCTCCGAGCTATAGAAGTATTTGCATTGTCCAGATGGTCCATTACGACAAAATGAGGCAGATTTTGCAAATGACTGCTTCTATCAATGCTTCTGTATGAAACAAGCTTCTTTGTGCACTAATAAAGCAGGCACCTTTTAAAGGGAAGCTGAAACACTTCTTGAAAAAAACGAGTTAGAGGTGAATTCTGGCGTATTTTTATCCCGTGAATCTGAATATCACTTTTGTTTTCCCCGAAGATGCAACTAAAAGCGAGAAAAAGCGAAAAAACATTCGACCAGTCGTGACGTCATACTAGGATCTTCGGGCCTCCAAGCGCGTGTCGCTCGTGTGTTCAGCGCGTGCAACGGCAAGCTTGCCAGGTATATTTCCCAGCACTGACACCAGTCGTGACGTCTCTTTCTGACCTTTCTGAAAATAGCAAGAGTGCGCGTGCATATCTTTGACAGGCGCTGAAGATGCACGAGAGCAGATATTCCGAACGCTCCTAGTGTGACGTCACGCCCCGGGAAGGAGGGGCTTCGGCGGTACTTTAAAAATTAATTTCTGAAGCCTCCGTGCACCAAATTGAAAAATAATCTTGATATTCCTGATCTTGGAGGTCGAATGAAGGCCATTGAAATGTTTTTTCTCAAATAGAGAACCGCTTCAGTTTCTCTTTAAGGTGTGTTGTGCATGAAATTGTATTATGTGCAAATGAAACACCTGGTGCACACTATGCAAAGGGTGCAAACAATGCATTGCGTGCAGGCAATCCAAGAAAAAATCTTTCCTTAGATAACCTGCAAGCTATACCTATTCGGGAAAAGCTAAAATTCCCCTTGCAAACTATATGCTATGGGTACGGGCCAAAAAATATGGTGGTCGGTCACAAACATTTTTTAAAAATTACCGTAATATACCAAGAGATGCCCCACCCCCGAAAGATAACCCACTCCTAATTTTGGCTTGATTTGCTATTTCTTTTAAACACAGAAAGATAGCCCGCACCTGGCAATCATAGTGTTGTGACCAATGATAAGCTCGGTGCAAATGTGGCCAGTTAGCCAAAGCGAACATTGCTGACTGGGAAGTACGGTCATCATTGCTTCACTGCCCCTCGCTGTGACAACAGCTTTGGCAGGAACACATAATCTAAATAAAACAAAGAATAAGCATAGGGACGGACAGAACAGCACCTCTTTCGACCTTCAACACAAATAGCTTTATTAGGCACCGGCACCGGGCCCAAGAAACGCAGAGACGGAAAGGAGGAGGGCGAAAAGCATGAACAAGGAAAGGTGAGGGGTGGTAGGGAGGGGATGAAGGCGACACAGACAGGAAAATTACTAGCGGGAAAGAAGAAAGGCCAGAAGGAAGCCGCAAAGAAGCGAAGCCACCTGAAACGACGTCACAGGATGACCCAGGCCCGCGGGGTTCTTGTAAAGGCCGTCAACTACGGCTGAAGGTAGGCCGCGTCCTTTGTGGAAAGAGAAAGCGAAGGCGCCGAGACATTTCGGGATGCGTGCATTATCGCGTAGGCCTCAATTAGCTCACGGCCGTAGCGACCTCGCTTCAATTTTAAGATTCTTGCCGAAGAGATCCCAGGGCGACATGAGAAGCAGGCCCTAATGTGGACAGCAATCGGGTGTTGCGACTCCCTTCCCTTGACCTCTCTTTCATGTTTGCGTAACCTACCGTTAACGCAGCGCCCTGTATGGCCATTGTACTACGTGTCACGAGACAGAAGTATAGTGTAAACGTGCCCAGATGCACAAAGAACGAAGCTAGTCCCATGCTTTTTGGAATATCCTGACTGGGAGAGCAAAGGTTCATTTACAAGACGACACATAAAACCCAACTTAAACTAGCACGAAAATACAACATCGACGTCGTACCTTCTGGTGACTGCCCTGAAGCAATGTGAAGTGTTGTGGTAATACGGTGTGACCGAAAACGTTTTTGGGCGAGGTGGCTTTTGGCAGTTGAGAGAAGACTTTGAGATGAAAGCCTTTAAGGTGGTTGCAATGAGGTCACGCGGGTAACCTGCTTTTTTGATGCAATTGATTTGGTTAGTCAGGCTGGCATGGGGAAGAAGACTTTTTACAATGCTTGACTTTAAATTTTTTGAGTGGTGGCTCGCGAAGGGGAGTACCAGCTTCTGGGATCACTGCTGTAAGCTCCAGCAAAAGCCACTTGGTGTTGGTTGTAGGTGCAAATCAAGAAACTGCAGGCCATCCACGGTAGGCTCCTCCTTCGTGAAGATAAGGCCCCGGAAGTGGCATGAGAACACTTGCTTGATGTGCGTTATTTTGTTCACATGCCACTACTTGAAGCTCATTACATGGCACGTAAACGGCATCTAGGTAAGGATCATGTCCCTGAAGGGGGGCTCTGCCCCCCTCCACCCGATCTCACCAGCGGTGGCACGAGCCCCGATGCCCCCCCCCCCCGTAGCTATGGAACCAAGACATTTTTTAAAGAAGGAGATGTTTTCTGTATCCTCCGGGACACAATGAACAACATAGAAATTGATGACATGCAAATTCTTGTAATCTTAAAATTGTTGTACCCCCCTCTTAAAGGCTTTAATCCCCAAGTCTTCCCTCGACCGCCAAAAGTTTTCGGTCACGCTGTACAGTAGAATCTCATTAATTCAAACTTTCTTAATTCAAACTTGCGGATAATTCAAACTAACATGCAGGTCCCATCCTATGCATCTCTATTAGAGGAAGCTCCCGGTAATTCAAACTTCGCTTTATTCAAACAAACTTTTGGTCTCCCTCAAGTTTGAATTAACGAGATTCGACTGTATTACCGCAACACTTCACATCGCCTCACGGCAGTCGCCAGAAAGTATGACGTCGATGTCGTATTTTCGTACCAGTTTAAGCTGGGCTCTATGCCGTCTTGTAAATGAATCCCTGCTCTCCCAGTCGGGATGTTCCAAAAAGCATGGGACTAGCTTCTTTCCATTTGCATCACGGCATAGTTACACTATACCTCTGTCTCGTGGCGCGGAGTATTTCGCCCAGACCAGGGTGCTGCGCTTACAACAGGTTACACGAACATGAGAGAAAGGTCGATGGGAGGGAGTCACAACACCCAATTGCCGTTCACAATAGGGCCTGCTCCTCATGTCGCCCTGGGTTCTCTTCGGCAAGAATCTTAGGTTCAAACCAAGGTCGCTACGGCCGTGAGATAACTGAGGCCTATGCGATAATGCACGCATCCTGAAATGTCTCGGCGTCTCCGCTTTCTCTTTCCACGAAGGAGGTGGCCTACCTTCGCCCACAGTTGACAGCCTTGACAAGAACCCCGCAGGCCCAGGTCGTCCATGATGTCGTTTGAGGCGGCTTCGGTTCTTTGCAGCTTTCCTTCCAGCCTTTCTTCTTTCCCGCCAGTAATTTTCCTGTCTGTGTAGCCTTTATCCTCTCCCTACCACCCCTCACCTTCCCTTATTCCCACTTTTTGCCCTCCTCCTTTCCATCTCTTGGGCCGGGTGCCGGCGCCTAGTAAAGCGATTTGTGTTGAAAGTCGAAAAAGGTGCTGTTCTGTCTGTCCCTATGTTTATTCTTTGTTTTATTTAACTTTACCAACGCGCTCACAACAAACTAAGATATAATCTAACAATAGCATTTTTCAACTTTCCTCGACTGCACTCCGAAAGTTACCCTGCTCCTTAATTATTTTCACACGATTTGCTCTCGATTTTAGGAGGGTTATCTTTCGGGATATTGTGTTAGTCTATCCAGGTTTGTCTTTGCAGATGACGATGGCGTTGGGGAATCAGGAACAAATAAAGTCAACAACTCTAGCATTTCGAAGTGGCACTCACCAGACTGGCGCGGTGGTCGGGGGTCGATGCCTCGAGTGGCAGGTCGTTGGACTCGATGTTGTGTGTCGACGAGGACCAGCGGGGTTCATGGGGGATGCCGTCGCAGTTGCGCTCCCCACTGAGTTCTTCGGGGGCTGGCAAGATTTGGTCGCGGATTGGAGTGGAACTACGACTGGCCCGCTCCCAACGCCAACGTCGTGGCAGTCCACGGGGACTGTCTGGGACTGAAAAAATTAGTTGTTATTAATACTGTCAGATACCGAGAGATGCCCCACTCCCGAAAGGTAACCCACCCCTTATTTAGGCTTGATTTGCTATTTTGTTTTAAACACTGAAAGACAGCCCACTCCTAGTAATCGTAGTGTTCACATCAATGACGACCTTGGTGTAAATGCGTCTAGTTAGCTATGATGGGATATAATTGAGCATCGCTGACCGAGAAGTAAAGTCATCTCATTGCCCCTTACCGCAATAACATGTTTGACAAAGAAACATGATCTAGAAGTAGTATTGCTTCAACTTTTCTTGATTGCACACTGAAAGTCAGACTACTCCTTATTTTCACCAATATTCTCTCGATTTTAGGTGGCCTACCTCTCTGGGTATTATGGTAATTAGTTATTAGTTAAATTAGTTCTTATTTATTAATAGTTTAGTTAAATTATTTATTAGTAACATGTTTATGACAAGTGGCCAGCTCAAATTTGAAAGAAACAGTTTCTATACTTTTGTTTCTGAGTTGGGTCGAAAAACGGGAATATAGTATTTAGTAGTTCTGTGCGAATAGTGGATTTTGAAATTGAAGCAAATTCGAAGCAAATAGTGGTTTTGGCCGAATATTTTTGATTCAAATATCAAATAGTTTTTCCATGCCTTTGACTACCATTGCATCATGCTTAGACGAAAACCCATCTAAACTCATGAAGGTTGTTCCACTTGTTCATTTATAAACTAAGTTTAATCTGTCTATATTTATGAACTGTGACCTCAGAAGGTCTGATGTCTTGGGATGGCAAGTAAACGACGGATTTGATATAAAATGAATCCTATACAGATAGCCAACTATAACCAATGGAGTGTATATGCAAACCTTACTATATAAAATATTCATTCATCTCAAATTAAATAAAGAAAGAATCGCACATGCTGAATGCAGGTTGTAAGGGAATGTCTGCCTAACAAAGTATACTCTTGCATTACAGTCAGTTTAATTTTGAAACTTTTACTACAATGTAGTAAAGTAAAGTATTTACTACAATGTAGTAAATACACATTCACACAAAGTTTCCATTTATTTTCAAATAGAGCTGGTATGCCTGCACTATCCTGCTTTGAATGCATGCTTTTCTTTCAAGCACTCAATGGCAGTATTCACACTTTTCCCAGTGTTTATCGCGGCAAATTACCCCGTTGAGTGTGCTTCTTACCGAGCCCCCATAAAGCTCACTTCCGTGGATATTGCTTCTCCACAATGCACCGGTGCTCAATGAGAAGCGCGCTCAACGGGGCTAACCTGCCATAATCGACACTTAGAAAAACGTGAATAGAGCAGTTCTTCTTAAAGCGAATATTGAATAGTGTATTATTCGACACTACTACTATATTCGATATTTCGAATATTTGCACAACCCTAGTATTTAGCAAAAAATGATTTGGGATTTTATGATGTTTTGTTATTTTTAAATCCTCATATTTTACTTATAAAAATATTAAGTGTTGGTTATAATTGTGAAACTTGTCAAATAATTGTTTGAAGAGCTCTGGCACAACCCAGAACGGCATAAATTTGAGCCATTTGTTTTGTGCATGGTTCTTCAGATTCTGACGTCGCCCACCATCACAATTACGTTGACAAGTAGGCCTAGCCGTCTCCTCTCCATTGCAGTCTTTTGTAGCTTCAATTTCTCGTGGATGTTTATTAAAAAAATACCCCTTTTCACGTCGCAAAAGAGTATAGCTAAACATCTATGGCAACATTCAAACACATTCTTCTCTTTATGTATAATATTGATGCAGTGTTGTCCTATCCCAGTGTTGTCCTAATATCTGAGTGTTGTCCTATCACAACCAAATTTGGCAAGCACAAGCAAACCTTGGTAGTTCTACAATGTAGAACTACCAAGGTTTGGTTACAATGTATCAATTCAAGCGTGCCGGTTAAGTTACGGCGTTAGAGGAGAATTTATGCAATTCTCCACCAAAACGAGTCTCGCACACTATTTTCGTCGTTCATTGCACTTGGCGGTTTAAAAGAAGCGAATCAGTCTATATCACTAGGTTCTTTTAAATGTTTTGCCATGCCCCACGTTTGCTCAAGAAACATGGTTTTTCTCAGCACGTGCACTGCACCCAGAACATAACAAAAAAAAAAAGCCGTATCAAATATAACATGACATGTTATAGTATAAAGAGGAGAGGAAGCACTATAAACTGAAAATTTCATCGAGTTATTGTAAAGAGACTAAAAAAACACATCCTCCCTTGCGCATGTCCCCTCAAGTCCGACTGTGGCCAATATGCTACGATCTGATCGAGCAGCACCCGAAGTGCATCGTCACTGCGCTCATCGTCTTTATCGCCAGCTAAACCAATCGCCGGAGCCCTGCGTGGATAACACTTTGATCATCTGCATCCCATCTGCAGACTTCGTATCCGCATCTGATCCGCATCCGCAATGTTCTTAAATAATTGTATCCGCATGTGATCTGCATCTGCAGACTTTGTATCCATATCCGAACAGCATCCGCAAAATTCGGAACCGTATCCGACTCTTAATCCGCGCATTTATTTTAGATGATAAAATCAAACATTATTAAAACTTTAAAAAAAAGAAAAAAAAAAATTCTGGATGGTATTTTATTAGCCATTTGCTTACCCTTCTAAAAAGAACTCTTCATGTAAGAATACAGTGAACGTCATGTTATCATATTATGTTTCATCATATTTATAAAATGTGCAATCATCCTTCCAGACACACTTTGCATCGCTCGAAAGATGATCGCAGTTATTAGATATTCTTGAGGTGCCGTGTCACTGACACTCTGTCCAGTATATGTGGTCAAAAGGAAGGAAATATATATTTATTTTGTAAAACCCACTTCAAGCAGGTGCATATTTTATAAACATGACAATTGTCAAAGGACAGACTAATAACACTGTGTCATCTTTTTTGGACCAAACAGTAAAAAAGTGTGAGGAAAGGCGCTCACTCGCAGCAGCTAAGTACTCGCGTATGTGAGGTAAGGCGCGAGCACACCACTGGGGAAAATATCACAATATTAAAAAATGGCAACACTTCCAATCAGTCATAGTTTCAAACACGAACCCGCAACTGCATGCTTGGAACCATATAGTACTCAAAAACAACTGAGTGCCAACTGTCGAGAAAAAAAAAAAATCTCACACACACGCAACATTCTACTTGTCAAGGTTGTGTAGAAGGAACAGAATACCAACTCGGACGAAATCAGACTTGTTCGCCTTTTTTAAATTAATGCGTGCTAATGAAAAGCCTCTCTTCATTGGTGCTCTTGATGCTGGGGTGGCATGCACAAACTGCTCTACTCTACAAGAATGAGGTACGGAAACTCGTGCTGGCGCAAGTTCCACCACTCCAGAGGATCGAATTTAGTCTCCTCAATATATATTTGTGGGGGAAAAAGCCACTTGCAGGTTTCTTCTAGATTATACTAACTTGTACAATTTAGTTTTCTTTTTTTTCTTTTTTGCCGGAACTTTTTTTGTTTGTTTTTTTTTCTTTCAAAGAAGAACACGCTTCCCAGGTCGACTGATGCTCCTGCATTCTTTGCTTTTTCTAGGGCAGTATGTTTGGCAAGATGCAACGTTCTAAAGCAATCTTTAGTGAGACTGAAATCTTTGTTGACGTAAATAACGATTTCCTTCCTGATTGACACCTTTAATCTAAGAGTGTAGTTTGCCCGTGCAATACATTCAATGATACACTTCATATTATCACTCACTCATTGCAGATGCAGATATCCAGACTTGCAGATATCCGCATCCGATCCGCATCCACAGCCCCTGGCGTCCGCATCCGATTCACAATCCGCCAAATCGGATTCATTTTTATCCAAATCCGCCAGTTTACTGCGGATATCCGCGGATATGCAGGGCTCTACCAATCGTGCACGGCGAATGCAGCGTGATCCTGCACTTTTTCAGCGCGTGATTGGCTAAGCCAATGGCGTGCTACTTTCGGCACCGCTTAATTGGCTCCATCGAATCGGAGCGTTGGCGGCAGTCAGACTTCATGTGAAGCGGAGTATAGTTCTATGCACCTGGATACGTCATGCCGTACGAGCCAACTTCAACATGCTGTACGAGCCAACTTCAGCCAAGCGAGACAAATTAATATTCCACAAAGCTTCACTTAAGTCGAAAGAATGAGGGAAAATTGGAGGTCGCTCAAAAAATGTTGGACTCTTAATTTTGTTTTATGCAAGAACATTTCAAAAAACAAAATTCCCTGCTGCCAAAGAAAAAGATGAAATTTTTTTTTTCTTCGAACTAATGTGCATATACTGGCAAGAGAAGAAAGCTTCAATAACAAATTACACTAGAAATCCACTATCTAAACTTGTATAAAATGTCAGCCCCCCCCCCCCAAGAAAAAAAAAAAAAATTACAAAATTTGTTTTACTGTAAAAAAGAAAACCATGCGTCGCCGGGCACTCATTCTCCACCCAAAGGTAGCGCTAGAGGTCCAACCCAGAGGCCAAAGTTTCAGCACAAACCGACATCTTCTTCAAAAGTTATAAGCGATTTTCTGAAATTTCTATGGGAAAATGGCATCCGACGCAGCTCTTGAATACATGGAGCTCTATGGCCCCAAAAACCGAAAAGAGGGCAAAAATGAGCCCTATTTTCCCATCAAAATTTTTAGAAAATTGCTATAACTTCTTAATAAGATATTGGTTTGTACTAAAACTTTGGCATCCAATTCGGACCTCACCCTGTAAATGTTTTTTGGGGGGACATCCTGTAGAAAGTAAGACAAAGGTGAATTTTTGATGCCGAATAGAATGTGCATGAATGAGAAAATAGATGAATCAGCAGTTATGTTTATCTTGAGCAGCAATCAATGAGTATCAATGAGAAGAACACACACTGAGCATAGCATCTTTTCTACTATATGAGGTTACAGTGATGTGTTTTTTTGCATGATATTTGAAGTGCCATATGGATACATGTTACAACTCAAAGTAAGGATATTGCCTTTATTGTTCTTTGCTCTCCACTCATCATATTCCAAGCACTGGATAGAACTTCCTAACATGGCCAGGAAATAACGAGCGTGAGCTTAAAAACAGATACGTTGCACTTCCAAACTAAACATTTTTTTAAACCTTGGTAAAACTAATTTTGCTCCATTTAGAACTGCCCCTCTACATTCACAGTGAGCACCCAGTTACCAAGTTTTGCAAACCTGTGTTTTCCTCCAACGAGTTAATCATATCCCTCGGTAGTTTCATATCAGATTAAACTGATCTCCCAGACCAAAACTCCAGCAAGTCCATTGAATCTGCTCATTTTCGGTACAAAGTGCCACAATAGCATAGTCTAAGATTGCTTGAGCTCTCCTTAAAGTTGGCTTCCCCGGCATAAAAAAATCACCTTTCCCAGGATATCAGTTTCTCTGCAATGTTTCTAAGGGCACCAATGTACAATCTGCAGATTGGTACTTTTAGGTGCACTATCACACACATAAGGTCCTATCCCCAAAGTTGGCTTCACCTTAGTCATGTACCTGCATTCCCTTTTCTCAAAATGAAGCTTCTCCAGTATTCCCAAGAGCATCAATGAGCAAGTGCTAAGTTGTGTACATTGGTGCTACTAAGTGCTACACTTCACTGTCACTTAACCTGACCATGCTGTCAGTGTGAATGGTCTTCTCATTTTCAGATTGGGTAATTACAAGACCAAACATAGACTACAGCGTAAAACATCACTCCCATCTTTAAAATTGCGAAGACAATAATTTCCTCAATGATTAGTCCCAAAGTGCAAGTGCTACTTGATACCTAAGCAAAATGCTTCCCAGGAATAAATAATATGAAAAAGCCTACTGCTACAGCAAGAGCCATGTGCATTGCAAACTCAAGACTAATGAAGTGACAAAAAGAAACTTCCGAAATACTAATCAGCTTACCAGGTTCCACCACGTCAGGTAGAGGCTCAACAATCGGGGAGGCTGCCTCGCCATCAACCAGTGGCGTCGAGTAATCTTGTTCGTGTGGCTGTGTCCTTGTGCGAGAAAAGAAAAGAAGTCAGACCTCAAGACAGATAAATTGGCACCTTAGAAGATTGAAAAGTGCTAGAAGGGGACTCTCATCTCTACCACTTCACGACCAGTTAGGCTGCAACTTTGTCTCAGCCTTTGGCAACAACTGCCTCTTGACATTTAAGATTATGGTGGTACCATTCAATAACAGGGGAGACTTTCTGGAAAAAATCTTCACTACATCGGTGGCTTCACAATGTTCACACTTTGCTTTACTACCGTAGAATACCGCACATCCGCCCATTCCACATTAAGCGCCCATTCCCATATTTATAAGATCTGAGAAAATATGCACAGTACATTGATATGTAAAATTGATGACCAGACAAGTGCCCATCCTCCATTTTTTCGCGATTATCTCTAAATGTTGAATGGGCGCTTGCCCGGTATTTTACGGTATATCTACAGTTTTCTACTTTATAGGGTCCACTGTTCTCCTGTATTAGCAATCACTATTTTTGCCCATAATCAAGAAGACCTTAACCCACCTCTTGGTTTTATACTTCCAGTCAAAAGCTTCTGACTGTGCGTATAAAAAATACTAATCTCGTCATAAGAAAAAATTCTATCCTAGCCTTTCAGCTGCACACAATGTATGTGCTCAACTGAAGTCAAGTGACAAATAATTTTATGCCAATCAAAAAAGTATTTATCACTTCTGAATCTCTTTTTAGATTAATTCTAAGGTCTCATAATTTAATTGAACACTTTCCAAGTGCAAGTAGTTTCAATCTATGTATCACTTTTTCTTCGCAAAACTGACAAAACAGATCGTTGTTCACCAATTACCAAACTTGTTTTAATACAAATATTTTTCGTAGAAGTTTGCAAATATTAAAACTTTTTATTACAAATCAAACATAAATATTTAAAAAAAAGCTTTTAATGCCAGATATGTGTGTACCATTAAGAAATAAAAAGAAATATGCAAATACTTTATTACCTTCAAAACCGAAAATGATGTTAACAAATTCAAGTAAGCGAAACTACCTGACTAGGCAGCATATAAACAATGCAACTGGTAATACAGCTATTATACGTTGACCTGTCAACTGTACAGTACATGAAAGCAGGCAAAAGGTGCAACAAGTAAGTTATACGAATTGACAAAATGAAGACTGTGTAAAACTGCTCACATCTAGATAGCAGGTAAAATGGCAACCTCTGGTGTTACAAACAATTGGTAGTGACCTTATTTTAAGAAAAGAAATTAAATTGGCCTTGACTAGCCAGCAAGTTAGATATCAGCTGCTAATGCAATTACAGCAAATTATCATGCAAGAAAATTAATTGTTCCACATGTTGAGTATGTAAGTGCTCCCCTTTTGCAGTGATAACTGCTCCTGGAGCAGAAACTATAAGGTTGCTAGAAAAGTGACTCACAGTGCAGACTTGGCAAAACAGAAACCAAAACTGCTCCTTTGTCGTCAGCTAATACACAGTTCTAAGCATAACGTAAACGGTGGGGGTTTCTAAAAACATGGCTAGAATAACCGCAATTTTAGACAACTAAATACAGTTTTTAAAGAAGCTCCGAATGTTCAGGACATGTCCTGCGTACATATTATTCGCAATTTGCCTGAATATTCATAGATTACTCGAAAATTCGACCATAATCAAATATTCTGGAATTTCCGAATATGCAATTCTCGAATCGAATATGAATCGAATAAGAAAAATACTCGATTCGTATTCAAAATCTCCAAGATTTGCACACCCCCAAATTTTTGTCAGTTCCAAAGAACAAAACTCACGTGCAGGAGGAGAACCTGCTAGCCACAGGAACTTTTTGCACCCCGTTTGCTTCTAGTGCAGGAACACAGCAGCGCCTGCGGCGACTTCTAAAGGCACAATGTGCATAGTCAACTAGAAAAAAAGATGGAGAAACAGCGGGAACATTAAATTTAATGTCTAACGTAATGCAAAAATTACGAGAGAAAAAAAACAGGAAAACATAAAACAAATATACTTGGATGTTTACAAGCTTCAAATATTTCTCAGATGAAGAAAGAGGAAATGCCTTAATCATCAAGAAAAAAATTAGGAGTCGGATATCCTTTCAACCCATTTTAATTTTTTTAATCCCAGGAAAAGCTGCATATATGTATGGTTTATTCACAAAGAAATGGCAGCAACAAACCACACACCTTTCCTTTGTTTGTTTGTTAAACACTGCTTTACACAGTTACACTGCCGTGTTAAAATTTACCGGACAGTGTTGACGCGACATTGCGACGTCGTATGCCACAATGAGAAATTGTAACATCACATGACATGGTACAGTATGTCGTGCAACATTAAATTTCCTCTAAATATAGAAAAGAAATTTTTTTCCTAAATTTAAAATGCGATGTCAGGCGACTCTCACATCAGTGTCACATGAAAATGTGATTACTCTCCAATTTAGGAGAGAAATTTTTTCCACTAAATTTAGCTGTCCAAGACCCCCACACGAACAACCTGGGATCTGCCGAGAAGCCTTGCCAATAATGGCCACCGCTGTAACAAGAAAAAGTATAAAACAACAAAGAACAAAAAACGTGGGTGCAAGCAACCTGGTGGAAGTTAAACATGGCAACTTTATCCAAGACTGGTTTTACTACAGAAAAGCACAAATACATAGAAGTTTGTGTTTGTGTCGTCCTGTAAGTAAAACCCCATCCTTAGGTAAAGTTAATATGTTACGAGACAATATACAGTGCAATCCAATTGTAATGATACCAGATATAACGATGTACCACTTATAACGATCACTTTCTAGAGTTTCTAGACTTGAAGCGATCAGTTTCTAGTTGAGATACGATAATCGGTTATAAGGATTAAACTTTCTCAATATTGTTGTATGTGCACTGCACTGTAGAAGGGTCGTTCAAGGTTGACCGGAACTTTTGTCCATAAGAAATCAATGAACAAGTGTAGCATGATGAAACTCGCTAAGGACGTTAACGTAATCCTTCACGACTATGCCACTCCTAGAATGACACATTTGATGCATGTGCTGCAGTTTCAGTTATCGTGGTGGTGAGCAGTATGTTTGTAGCTGTAAAGCAACAATGCTATAGCAAAATATTATCAAAATAATAGCATGAACTGCACAGACACATTCATCCGGCTGCAGTCACACAGCACAGTTCTTGCTATGCCGTAGGAATCGGGGAGCTACCAAAACGATGGCGGCAGTGCCTGGACGTGTACGGGGAGTTAGAAAAACTGCGTACGTAGTTTCATGCTTGCCACATGTTTCGCTCCCTCCATAGGAATAAGCATTCCGGTCGACCTTGGACCGTCCTAAAAACAAACGAAGACATCTGGTTCGTACCCAGCACAAAGATAGCCAGGAGCACGGTCAGGGCCCCGAAGTGAAGGCTGGAGCCTTCCTGGAGCTCCGAGAGCGCGTTCATGGGCACCAGGAGCAGGAGGAAGAAGCGCGAGGTCATGGGAACGTGCAGGAAGGCTGCCAGGAACATGGCCACCAGGAGGTAGCAGGCGTGCAGCACGCAGCACAACAGCACGGTCAGGCGCTCGCCTGGGAACAAATGGTCGAGCACAACCTGTCAGGCGCTGCCTGCCTCCAACGTTGTGCCCAGAATGAGTCTCTGACCGGAGCGTTTAGTGTTTCCAAAAAAGTTGTCTCTCGATTTCCGCCCGACGCAGTCGTAGAAGTGTAGTGTCGTCGCCGGTTGCGATCTTGGCAGTGTCGCGGCAGAGGTGGTGTTTGTGGTATATGCCCATTTTGCTGTGGGTTGCCCTCCAGCTTGACAGTTCATGGAAGCTACAGCAGCTGGGAGTTGCAGACGCCGCGACAACGACGGCACCCGCGTTCCCTCGCGCTTTTACGGAGGCAGCTGTTGGTGCTCCTTCCCGGCAAAAAAATGGTTTTGTACGAACGCAAATTCCCACTCAACAACAGAGGCACTGTTCTTCTCCCCGTCGTTCCACACGTGGCAAGGTTCTCTTTTGCTCCCCCTTTCTTCCCCCCCTGTAGGCTGCCAACCGAATGGAACACTAAACACACCCGTCGAAGACTCGTTCCAGACACCGTACCATTGCCAACGGTAGGAAACAAAGGCTTCCTGCACTTTCTGGTGCCCGTCAAGGTCTCTCGACGACATCTGATGCAGGCTGTCGTGCATCATGAGCAATCAATAAAAGAACAATGTCTGCAATGCAAGCTTCCATTCAAGATTTTCGTAATAAATAGACAAAGCAGCTGGCTAGAAACTTGCATTTGAATATGGCAATGTCGTTTTGTAGAAGTTACCTTTAATGATTGCATTAAAAAAATGTTCTATGGATACTTTAGAAAAACGAGAAGCTGTAGAACTATGTACTATACTATTTCTATAGTTACATGTAAATATGATTTTATAGGAAATTCCCAAGATGCTATCCAATCTAGTTTTCTGGTACAGTAAATTATTTTTGCAGGCTCAATATTTCGTGACTGGGAGGGGTATGAATCATCCCCATGGTGCGAAATATTCGTGAATGTTTTTTTGCAACATTTTTCAGGTTGCAATATCCTAGCATATATTTAAAGGGACACTAACAGGTAGTATTCATGCTCGCCAAGGTTTTTATTTGTACATAACATATGAGAGCCCAACTACCTAGAATGCAATTTGCAGCTCGAAATTTGTTTTCTTTCCGTCCGAAAACCGCCGATCGAGAACTGGCCGGTTTGAGTCAAGCTTACTCTCTTCTCTGTGGTCATGTGCCGCTTTCTGTGGTTTAGACACAACAATCGTAGTCATGGGTCACCGAAGCCTCTACTGCACCTGCACGCCGATGGCCTTGACTGTAGAGTTCCGGGTATCGTAGCGGGTTGAGGAGAGCATTGTGGGATGGCAAAAACAATCTATAAAAACTTCCTAATGAGTCGAAGTTGGGACACCCATGTGAATACTTCTTCGCCTACGCTGCGTCCCAACATACACTCCCCGTAAGCTTCCGGAGCGCGCTGGCAAAGCCTCTCGGCCCCAACTCGACTACGCTCAAAACCCGGGCAGGTCTCCTGTGCTCTCGCGAGGAGACACATTTGTACTTTCTCTTCTTGAAAAGTGTACCGCCGGCATCGTGCATCGTATGCTAGGATCCGCCGAGCATGGCCTCGGAGATTCCGGAGCGAGCACGCTTTGGAATCATGCGTGGGGCGCCCGCAAGGCCTCTTCCACCACTTGGTGGCAGGTATGTCGACGGGTCATTGCACGTTGTTTCTTGTTTCCATGCTTTCTAAACTACATTTGTTACTTTTCTGATCTAAAATTCTGGACAAAAACTACTTTCATAAGTAATTGAAATGGTTTGCACCACTTGTATTTTGTATTTAGACTAAAAAACACTTCAAGCGGCTCCGACCAGTTGTAAGGCAGGAGCTGACAAGGAGAAACAATGTCACGATTTCATCACATGCCATGCGTGTTTGACACCACAGGACGCCCCCGTAGGAGGAGGGCTTTTTGCGTGGTCTGGTTAAAATATGACGCACTGATATTTAGTTACTCCCTCCGTGCCCACTGGGTCACCCGAACCACAAGAAATGTGGAAACTGCAAAAAAGGTAGACGCCTAAATAGGATTGCAGGACCTGCTGAAGAAGGACCTACGAGACCTGTTGAAGAAGGACAATGCTTGGGTCTAGACCGACTCCCAGCAAGAAACTTTTAAGCGTCTTCGGACAGCCCTATCACAGGCATCGGTTCTGGCATACTACGACAAGATGCAGCTCCTCGTGTTGCAGGTAGATGCTAGCCAACAAGGCGTAGGAGATGTCATCCAGATGGGAAGAAGCACAAGGACACGGCTGCCTACGCACCGCAAGCTTTTAGAGCCTGAGGCAGTGCCACCCCAGCAAGCGACTGCAAGACTTAAGGAGGTACTCCAGCACCAACAGACATACTAGAGCCAAGGTACAAGACGTCTGGAGTGCCTGCACCCTAGGTCGATGGTCTCGGTGCTCGACAGTCGGACCTCTCAGTGGTCACAGACAACCCTGCACCCAGATCCTACATAGTGGCGAACGAAGATGGACAACAGCTTTGGCACAACGGAGGGCAAATCCACTGCCACAGCCCCACAACAACGGCAGCAACGATGCCACAGTCTTCAGGACCCCAACCCGTGGCATTACAGAAAGGCTCAAGGCAGCCCCGCAAGCCACGTCGCTACAAAAAAATGTTACTGAGGTTTTAGTTCGACTTATTTCCTTTTATTAGGAAAAAGGAGATGTGACCAGCGGCATTGTCATGTGAATTACCGGCACAAGCAGCGGCGCCAGCCCTCTCTAGTCGCATTCGAAAGCGCGCAAATAAACAACTTTTTTTCTCAGTGATCACTGTATGCGGTTGTATCCCTACGTGCAGTCCAGATCTCAAGGCAGCTTGCTTTGAGGTCTACCCCTTATCCTTCAAGAATATGTTTTGGGTTGCACATTTTTTTACTGCACCCAAATTAATTTTTTTTTTTTTTTTAATTTCAGTTTTGAATTTAGCTATTTTGGGAATTCTAGCTCCAAATCTAGCTACTTTACAGAATTTTAAAAGTAGCTTAGGCTGCCAAAATGCAAAGTCCGCCTCTGGTTAAAACACTTTATATTTATAAGGTGTTAACATATGTATGTTTATGTTTTTCAGGGAAAGTCCATTTAGCTTAGGAAAAATATTTAAGCAGTTAAAAGCGCCGTCAAAATAAGCAGGCCCTCCAGATTGGAATGGCCCTTCAGAGTTTTATATATTCAATTAGTGACAAGATAAAAAAACTGTACTCACCGGAGCCATGCAGGTAGCGTACCACCCAGCCCAGCTTGTCGCCAAGCTCAACCCTGGTCTCCTCAACCATCTTCTGCAGGTACTCAATGCTCGCATTTATTTTAGACAGGTTGCTCAGCGTGTCCTCAAACTGCACCGAGGTCTCCTTGTGGTGACTGTGAAGGTCTTTAGCACCGATGTCTGCAAAGCAGAAGAGGTAAGTGCAAAAGATGAGGGATGCCAAGACAGTTTCACAGATCTTTTAAAAATCAATGCCATCTAGTGGCCCAGCTTGTAGTTTAATAACCCTTACCATACCAATGACGACAGGGTATTGTAATCGTTTTCGGGCACCATCTGCTTTGTAGGTCAAGGGCAGGCAGTAATCCTTCTTTAATTCAGTGCTTGCTAATCCAAGTAGACTGAGTGACTGGAACTCGGGTTCAGCCAGTAGACTGAGACCGAGACAAACGACGACAAAGTGCTTGTATCCAGCATACGTGTTGCACTGCACCAACAACTTGACACTGGAAGTCCTTATGCACACTGCTTGGGCACACTTTTCAAGTTCTTCCTTCACCAGAAACGCTAAAACAACACTAAGAGAGCTCGTAGAGGGATGGAGCCTCGAGAGATTATGCCCAACTTCAGCAAAAATTCTCCATTCTACAATGTAGCAATATTCTCTTAATATTAAAAGAGTATGCATAGGTTCGAAAACAGCGATGGCATGGGCACTGCACGTTCACAATAATATACTAGTAATTTTGGGAAAGGGCCCATTGTGGTTAGTGGCACCGAGCAAATGAAGATTGAGCCGCTTACCCAATTTCTCCTGGAGAAACTTGGCATACTCTTGAACCGTGGACAGATCTTTCACGAGCTGCCTGTGGCTAATCTGGCGCTGCTGCTCATTGGTGAGCATTATGTTGCTGGCAGCATCTAGGCCAAGGAATATCGACATGGTTAAACAGTGTGAAGTAAACATGTTTTGAATCACGCAAACAACAGCACTAGCCACATCGTCGTGAGTTTATAGCTTACTTCGATAGAAAGCATGCAACATTCTGCTTGGACACCAGCTAGACTATCAGAATGTGAATGGATCCTTTCTATCTCGAAGTCTAATTTCTCGTGTTGTGGGAACATTCAATACTAGTTTCAATGCAAAAACATTAACTGTCTCATGGAGCGAGCCGACGTCATCAGCTTTGAAACCATGCAAAACAGCACCTTAATGAAACCACGCGCAAAGCTAGCCAACGGCACCTTTTACACTTCGATCCCATTGGCTGGCACGCGCCGACAAGGCTCCCATTGGACGCTGCACGTCGGTTTGTTTAGTGTCATCCTGGCTGTCTTATCACACTGTTGCGTTATCAGTGATCACCGCGTTTGCTCGCCTCTTATCGGTTGTATGGCACGTGGCAATATATATGGCGCATGGAATAAACCAAGGGGCTCGTTCTGCTGGGAACTACGTTGCTGTCTGTTCCTTGAGCCGTAAGGCACAAGACAGTTTGAACAATCGCTCACCCGATGGCGCTGCGTGTCCGCGAGGCAGCGGCTCTACTGTTCCACGCCCAAAATCAGCACGTTGCATGCCACAGATTAAAGAAGGGAGCGAAGAGCGGGTTGCTTGCTGTCGCATTCACAACTCATAAGAAGTGCTTAGGTGTACGCCGAGCCTTTTTAATAATATGCTATTAAATATTTGCTTTGAGATTCACTGCAAATTCATACTTTTCAAGGTGTTGATTGCGGCGGGTTAGCTCCGTTGAGCGTGAAAAAGCAACGCCCGCGAGAGCGACCTCCGCAATTGTTGCTTCCCCGCAGTTCACGGGTGCTTGGCAAGTAAAATATAAAAAAGAAAGCTTGAGTTACTTTTAAGCAATTCTTACGAGTTTGAATACGAAAGCATGCAAGCCGCTCGTCCGCTCCCTTTTTCGTCTGCTGCATACTTTTCGTCGCTGGTCAGCGCGCGTGCTCCCTTGGGCACGCTAACCTTGGACTCCTTGGACACTCTGCGTTAACGACGCGCTGATGGACACGCAGCGCCATGGGGTGAGCAGTCGTGGAAACTGACGAGCGTAGCCATGGCCTCCGAGATCCCGAAGCGCGTGCGCACTTTGACGCGCTTCAAAATTTCAGAGGTTATGGCGCAGCGGCCAATGGGAGCCCCGTCGACGCGCGCCAGCCAATGGAACCGAAGGCAAATCGCTCCTATTGGGATCGCGGAAACTAGAAGTCGTTTTCACACTTCAGACTGATGACGTCAGCTCGCTTCATGAGACAGTTAATGCTTTCGCATTAAAATTAAACTGTGGCTGTTATGCGAGAGCATATGTCAGGCAGAGATGCCCCGACAACCTGCATTCATCATTTGTGATACTTTTTTTATTTGTTTCAAATTCGAGATTAAAGAAAGAATATTTTCATATAGAGAGATATGTAAATCCACTCAATTAGATATAGCTTGCATCTCCATAGGTTTAACTTTATGTAAAATCCGTCTATATTTGCAAAACCAGGGCATCACACTTTCTGATGATGCAGTTCATAAATATAATTACATTAAAGTTATAAATGGGCAAGTGGAAGCTTGGGAACAACCTTCCCAAGTTTAGATGGGTTTCTGTTTAAGCATAGTACAACAGTAGCCAAAAGGCTTGGAAAAAAACTATTTAACCCTTGATTAAGAAACTATTAGGTCAAAACCACCCTTTTCTTCGAACTCAAAATCCACCATTTGCACATGTATGTTGCTTTGCGGTGATGTTGCACAGACGGACTTGGTACGCCATTTGCGCCTCGATGACACAAATATCATCCGTAGCATCTCCCAGCTACACCTAGCGCTTCAGCAGGAGTGGAGATCGAAGTTTGTGTAGCTTGCGGTTGCACATCCCAGCTTTCAAGAGTTACACTACTTTACACCTCCCAGTTTCCTCCAAGGCATGTGCTTTTTCTCTTCCACTTCGCCTCTCATACACTCTTTCCCACCACATATGGGAGCACATTACTAAGCCGTAGTGTTAGGTTTTCTACATCGCCTACATATGCTTGGTATTCTACATCACCGAAAGAGGCTAGCGCAGAACACAGATTCACAACGCATGCTACATCGGCATTTGGCTGCGACTCTCGTTCGATCAGTGAGGACACGTGTCCCAGACAAACACTGACGCAGCCCTAATGTGACACTCTTCCGTTACAAAAGTGCGTTATTGAAGTGTGAATATTGCTTTAGTCAACTAAGATAATAAAAATAAAAGCTGCCCAAAAAAGAGACGTGCATGCTCAGAACTATGCCTGGTAGGTCCAGATTTTGCGAAACTAAATTACACTATAAGTTGTCTCCGACAAAAAAAAATGTACAATGTTGCCTTCACCTCAAAAGTAAACTATGCATTGCCGAAAGCTCAGTCACCGTCGAAATGTGGTGCCAGCGGTCCGGACCAAATGCTAAAGTTTCTGTGTGTCGTTGCCCAATGCAAAAGTGATATAAGCGATTTTCGTAAATTTGCAATGGGAAAGTGGCAGCCAACAACGCCTATGAATACATGGAAAGATGAATGGCATCAGCAAACGAGAACGGGCCCCATTTTTCTATTGAAATTTTCAGAAAACTACTTACAACTTATGAATAAGATAACAGTTAGTTCTGAAACTTTTGCATCTGTTCGGACCACAAAGGCTACATTTGGGTAAAAAATAGCGTTTTGCAATACACAGTTTGTTCTTGCGGTGAAACAAACACTGTATATCTTTTTTTCGGGGACACGCTGTATATCATAACAAACAACAACGTTCTGGGACCGATGGGAAGACATACCCAGCTTCTTGCGGATGCTGTCGGTCATGCGGGCAAGCTCCCGCTGGCCCGCAGCAATCAGGGCCTTCTCGACGGTCAGCTCCTTGAGGTTCTCAGCCACAAAGACCTGAACGTTCTGCTGGGAGCTCTTGAGCTTCTCCTGCTGAGCCATCAGCTCCTCTTGGTTCTCACTCACCCTGAGCTGGCTACGCTCAAACTCAGACATTGCTCTTGCCTGGAATCAAAGAGAAACAAATTACACTGGCTCGATCGTGCTGACAAAGACCGAGGGGCACAGAATTTGTCGTGAATGAGCTGGGCACATGCTATGTGTGTGTGAGCTCACATGATGTCACGACGTCACATGACTACTGACATCACAGTGCCACGTGATACTGCACACACACCTCCCTCGAGCAAAAGTGGGAGCCGGCAGCTGATGCCCCATTTAAAAAAAAAGGTGAAACATGCGAGAAAAACCAGGAACATTTTGCACCACCAATGGCCTCATAATACCGCTTATGAAGAGCCTTCTCCAGGATGAGGGAATGAAATTTCACACTATAGTCACTGATAAGGTGAGAACAGCAGGAAGGACCTTCAATTGTCCCACCTCCAGCCTGAGCTTCCCACCTTCAACAGTGCTTCGGCGTCTTGTGCATCTCGAGCGCATGTGCGCAGCCAAAGCGTGTCGGAAGGCATGGAGTGTGTGCTGGAGGTCGGACATTCAAAAGACACACCCTGCCGTACTTACCACCCCAAGTAAATGGAGTGATAAAAAAAAATATGAGAAAATAAGAGCCTTGGTTAGCATGTTTTTCAAAGACTAGGAAGACATGAAAACACACTATAAAAAAAAAAGAATGAAGCTTATAGAAAGAAAGTGAAGTGGCATCAAGCACAGATGCATGCTTTAAAAAGCATAAAGACACAGCACGTCAGAGAAGCACATTTACAAGCAAAAAGTAATAATTATGCTACTACTTGACAAGAGTTTGGACAAACAACTCCCCAGGAAACGAGCAGTCAGAGTGCAACAGTAAAAGTCCCAGAACCGAGAGAAGATGAGCGTACCTGCTGGTCAGAAGACCAGACCAGCTTGTTAATGGTCATTTCCGTTTTGACATGGAACTGCTGCTGCCTGGTGCTGTAGCAGACTGCCCTTGCACGGTTGCTCACCAGGTGGTACGCATTCCAAGTGTGCTGGTCCATGCCCTTGGTGCATTCTCGCAGGGACTGGAAAGTGTCCCATTATCGATACCAACTTTAAATGTATGAGCTAAAATGCTGGTGACAGAGGAACGACCATGTATGTGTTGTTTAAACATAGTAGATTGCAAAATATGAATGACATTACTTGATTCCAAGCAATGGCATAAATGGACAGAGCAAAAGAAGAAACTGCTTTGTTTATCCCATCTTGTAAAGATGAGAAAAAAACTCTCAGACGGCGCACTGATTGATAACTGAAGTGCACTCCTGAAACAGTAACAAAATTCTCACTCATATGTTTGTGGTGCTAGTGAATTAGAAAATGAACACCAATTGTATGTTACCGCTGTTTGTGCTGCTCCTAGTGCTTCGTGTTACGGTGATAGCAGTTACTGGCGAGGCTTTGCGGTAAATTCTCGTATGTGCTTCGTGTGGGGTCGGGACGTCATGGGCTCACCAGACACCGCGACGTGATCATACGACATTAGGAAGTCGTGTGACGCGGTCACATTATGCAACACTGTGACACCACGGGATATGCCATTTCTCACTGCAGGTCGATTTTAATGTGAACATGCATTATGGCCAGAATGCATGCCTTAGAGACTTTATGGAAGACCACCGTAAGGATACACAGTGCACTAGGCTTAGTTTGGTGAACATCTAGACTTCATCGAGGGTCTTCAATTGCTGTCACACTTGAGTACTCCCTATTCATTTTCCGGCCGTAACCAACCGAAGCTTGTGTCCGACTGTCACCTCTTTCTAGCACATCAAACCTAGCCCTCTCGTAAAATGTGTGCGTGCCACTGTCTCAAATGTGCACGTTATACCATTACTTTGGTCCGTATGCCAATGCCACTTCTCAAAATATTAGTGGAGCCAGATATGCCTCGGGGGCATGCTCACGAGCAGAGCTTGCACTAGAGTAGATCAATGTGTTGTGGAACCTTGTCACGAGTCCACATTCCTTCTGCCTTGGGCTATTCTCTCTAGTAACTAAGGTTTCATGTTTTGGGGGTTGTATTTTTTTTTCCCCCAGAAATTCAGAGTCTTGCGGTGTAAAACAAAAATTTGGCGTTTATCAAGGCTTCTGCTGAAGAAAACAAGACAAGGGCAGATCATTCCACAACCTCTAGGGGATGTGCACGTGATCCGTATAATTGTCCGCAAGAAAGCTTCACAGGCAGTTCAGTGCATAGTCTACAAAATTTAAAATAACATGTGAATCAAAGTGGGACCATTTGTAAATCAACTGAAGCCACTTAGAGGTAAAGCGGAGACCAGCTAGAAATAAAGGGGGCTACATAGAATAAAGTGGTCCCACCTATAAAACCACTTTAAATATTCACCTGCGTCTGGATAAAAAGTTACTGCCCGTGAAGGTTGGAATTTTCTCATTTAAAGAATTTGGGGTTTTTTGGTTCCTCCCCTTCCCCCTCCCTTGAATTCAATAAAACTGACTTGCGGGGTTCATTTTTGGGGTTCGGAGGTAAATACTGAAAAAGGAAACCCTCTACTCATGACTCTAGGGTTCCATGTTTTCGGTCTTGTAAAAAAAAAAAAAAAAAAAAAAATGGGGAAAAAATGGAGAATACCGGCAAACTCTGAAACGGAGCTATCCTTGAAAAAGATACACCCAAGCTTCGCAACAAGAAAATCTTTGTCCACAGCTCTATTTTGTACCGACGGCCAGAATGCAGCCCCCCAATTGACTGCACGTCCACCGGGCTTCTTCTCAATTGCTTCAGAACAACACATCATATCTTGTTTATTTTTTTCATTGGGACAGGAATCTTTTCTGAATATTCGCGTCACGCTTATTCGTTCCCTTGTGGTTGGGGAATTTCATGCCTGTGTCTGATCTCCTTCAACACGACCCTTGGTAAACTCAGATTTTTCGTCCGACACCAAATGTTAACAAGGAAAAACTCCAAATCCAAGGGAAGGAATGAACCCCAACAAAACACCCCCGAATTAGAAAAATAAACTAGTTTCTTCGGGGTTTATTTTTCTTCGAATTAGGAAGTGTTTTTTCGGGGTTTACTTTTTTTCCCCCGCAGATTAAATGCTTTTTGTTCTCCATTTTCGCTGTTGAATGAAAATTGGGGGTTCGTCGGAGTTTGTGCCAAGAAAATGGGATACGGGCGCAAGACTCCCCCAACGTTTGGGGAACACAAGCTTGACCCGAATACTCAGAAAGTGCCCCACTACCAATAAGAGAAGGAAACAAGATAAGCTGTGCGGGTCCAAAAAATACAGGCAACCACACTTCACTGGAGGCCGTGTTTTGGGTCACCAAATAAAGATGTAAATATTGTTGGTATTTTTTTGGCATGAAGCTCGTGTTTTATCGATCTGATGACAGCTGAAATTTGGGGTTTTTTGGTTCCCACCAACCTTGAGAAAACCGGCTCTGGGGTTAATTTTCGGGGTTTATCGGCATCTACCATAGGGAGCCCTACTCGTAACCCATCATTATAATAATAGGCCATATGAAAATTGAAGAAACACGAGCAACTTACCATGTCGTCGGTGCAAGGAAAGGTTGCACGCCCCTCGACTGCAGATTGGCAGTTCAGCAAGCGCACGCTCAATTTTCCCATGTCTTCCTCACTCAATGAAGAACAGGAAGCCTTCAGGTTTAAGAAGACCTGTGGCAAGTGGAAGAGATAACATTTTGAATTTAATTAATAAGAGAATATAGCGTAGTAAAGTATCTTTTAAGATTCGTTTTTCATCACTCTATTCCAAATATTCAGCCCCACTATTTGAAACTGAAATCTAGTAGAGTTGAGGACACGACTGGCACTGTCAAGCTTGAAACCTTCATCCACGCTATCAGCTGCTCTACCATTCCTTGGCCAGTGGCAATCCGTTCTTTGAGCGGCGTCTCATCGACAAGCAACATTCCATCAACAGTTTGCTCCATTAAAAGGTTTCCCGCACTCGTCTCATTGACACAACTTGCAATGCGTCGTCGCAAACTTTTTGCATCTCACCTGATGTACAGAGGCAGAGAGCCCTGAGGCTTAGGCAAGTATGCCTCAGTGAATTATGCACTAGTATTTGGCGGCTTCCAGACTTTGAGAATGAAACATTGCAGGAGGCAGTGTCCACAAAACGCCACATAGGTGAAAAATGTGCCCATGAAACATGCTTCCACAATGAGGAAAAGTTGTTCACGAAACGTGTTTCCACGAAATCTGTTTCCACACGTGTTGCAACTAAACAATATGGATATTTGTTAATTTATTATGTCTACAACAATCGGCACACAATATCTGAAAGAGTTTCATTATAGCTATCTGTGCTACAGATTACCCAAATGTAATGACACTAGGCTAGAATTTTGTTTCTGAGAGCACTTGCACAAAGGAAGTGCTGTCTAAAAGCACAAGCTTGAGCTAGTCTCCTGAAACACTACCAGGTTGGACACTCATGGAGTATACACTGCAGATTTCAGCTGTGACATGGGAGCACAGAACGCAACAGGGGAGGATCAGAACCGTGCAGGTAATAATTCGATCCCACTAAGTGACTGATTCATTTTATGATAAATTTCGAATTTTGCTACGAACTTTACAACCGCATTGAGGAAGTGCAGGGAAACTGCCTCATTTGGCAATGTATCTTTTCACCAGCATGTAGTGATTGGCTTTCACGGCAATGTATCTTTTCCCCAGACTCGGGGGTTTGTCTAAAATTATAACCTTTTTTGTTCTTTTATTAAATTGGCATAAAAAAAAAAAGAAAAAAAAAAGAGAAAAGATGTCCCTATTTTAGTGATTAAAGAACAAAACATACTCTAAATGAACCCCTATCATATTCTTAAAAGAGTTGGTGAAATAAAAGGCAGCTCCTACACCCCAAAAAGCTTTCTCCTTCGGCCCTTCATGTCGAGGCTTGCGCAGATTTTGTTGCGTTTTGATTTGCTAGATTAGATTAGGTGAACTTAACTGTGGCGAGTTCACATTTGGCGGGTTCGTACTGCAAATATTAAACCCGCACGAGGACCTTGGCCTGACCAGTTCTTCGATTTAATAAATACTTCGGGGAACATGAGGTCGGTACGCTTGCAAAAGAGACCGTTGCTCGACGGGACATCGGGACATGGCCAAAGGTTCACGACAAAAGACATTCCTTACCTTGTGATGACACACATCGAGCTTGGATAGCTGCAAGCCGTATTTCTTCCCCTCCTTGAGGAAGTCTTCGTCCGAAGTGCTCATCTCGAAAGGCACAGACACCGCAGTGCCGTCCTTGTTGAAGTCCTTCGGGTCGTCGACAACGGCCACCGTCGCCGGCTGACCACCGTAGAACCCAAACCAGTCGAAGCAATGGCAGGGGGAGAACGCAACAAGATGGACGAACAATGCTAGGAAATTATCGGCGAGATGCATCGTACGAAAAGAGTGTCGCATAAAATGTTGGAAATGAGTCTAGGGACGACAACAACTACAGTGAAGTGTAAAGGCAATAAAGGTTTCAAAGTTCGCTTTAAAGAGCAGCGGAACTGGCGGAACAGTGAACCAAGCGTGCCAAGCGTTCTGATTGGCTGATTTATGGTGATATCGATGGTGCTGCAGCTCTCCTTTTGTACACCGCTGGCTGAAAATTGAAGCGGACGAGCCTGGTCGGAGTCGTGCGTTTTGTATAGTCTGTTTCATACTTAGCGTGCAACGCTGTCAAAGCTACTGGCGCGAGCGCGTGGCTTCTTCTATGGTTTTGTTTGCGCGAGAACGCGTGCAAATGATCAACGAGATCAAGCCCCGCGCTCGCGCCAGTGGCTTTGACAGCGTTGTACGCTAAGTATGAAACAGAGTATAGGTATAGTGTCCTGTTTGGACCCCCCTTCAGTCTTCGCCCAAATGTACCGCTAGCGGTCCGGACAAGCTGTTAAAAGTTTCACAGCTTGCCGTTATTTAATTTTTTTTTTTTTTCACCGCAAAAATAAACTGCGCATCGCCGAACGCTCCTTATCAACCCCCTCTTCGCGCCAGCAGCTTCGGTAGTTTTAACCCGCAAATGAGGCGAAAAACTTCGAACCAGCGATTTCCGAGAAAGGTGGATTAACCACCATCGAAAATCACTTTATCAAAATGTGCACAACAGAATCCACCTGCTATTCCCTTAGGTCTAAAGTGTACGAGTATGACACTTGACAGATGAGCTTAGGGGCACTAAACTTGTCAAGCACAAAGTTGGGGCCGAAGTTGACAGAGCGCGTCGGGTGAAATATCACGACGCAAAGGCGGATCCAAAGCTCCGTTTTTCTTTTTTTTTTTTTGGGGGGGGGGGGGGGGGGGGATTTGTTGCTTTTTGAGAAAGGGGGAGGGGTCGACGGTCACGACGATGACTTCGCGTTTTTGTCGCCGACGTCCAATTGGCGCGCCCCGCTAACTTTCGGCTCCAACTTTGTGTTTGACGAGTTTAAGGCCCTAGGACGGGGGTACTACGCAGTGCGCACGTTCGTCCGCTTCTTTTGTTGGGGTTGTGGTGACGTCAGAACACCGAGTTCTGCTTGGCTTTGATTGAAGGATAGTGGGTAGAGCTCGAGGCAGCTTGCTTTGAGGTCTACCCGCTATCCTTAAATCAGCTCAGCGTTCTGACGTCACCACAACCCCAACAAAAGCAGACGAATTTGGGCTCCGCATAGCGAGCGAGTATTCACTAACGGCCATGGGAGACACTCACTTGATCAAACGTTTTAGCGAATGCCCGCCTTTCACCGAACGACATTTTAGCGAATAGTCGGACGCCGCAAAGCGGTGTTTTCGGGTGGGCCAAGTGGGTTCATATTTTTTAAATGAGCCGTCGCCACGAAGCGGCGTAAGCACAGCGCTGGGGGTGGGTTAACGCATGCCCCCGTTATTCGCTAAAACGTTCATTTGCTCAAATGTCGCTGTTTGCTTAAACGTCATTTGCTCATACGATATGGACCTGGCGGCCATAGCTGTGCAAGAGACTGCCGAGCGCATGCTGACGGCGAGCTTCCAGTTCTTTTGCAACCTGCATTATGCACCATCAAGGTTTCCAGTCTTAGTAGTCCATAAAGCAAGCTCGTTCTTAGCATGCACTCTAAACATTGCCCTCAAATATGGCGCCCAGTGAATACCCCTATATCTGACTGCACACCAAAGAGAGATTGTTGCTCAGATTCCACATCACACTGCACACATGCAGCCAGAGATTCATCATGGTCAACAGGCTTCAACTGGAGGTACGGCGTCTCGGTATTTCTAAACAGACCATGGAGAGAGATGGAGCCCTTCTTGATTGCAACTGGCATTTCCAAATCTGCCTATACTCTGTTTCACCTTATGAAGTACCGCAGGAAAGGCTACAAGCGCGAGCTCCTTGCTCTAGGGCACAACTCGGTGGCACAAGCTCTCGTACGTCAAGAGCAGCTCCCAACGCTATGAGCTCGCGCTTCTAGCCTTCGCTGCGGTACAACATAAGGTGAAACGGAGTATAGCTATACTCCATTTTACTTTGCGATGGACTGCAGCAGATGCGACGAACCATCCAGGCCAGTTCAGCACTGTGAAGGTATTACACACCCCTCCAGAAAATCGCATGACAGTCACACAGCACTCATTTAGATTGACTTCGATAGCTCGTAAAGATCTTTGTGGTCCATCGTAAGGTATGGGGCACAGTAAAATTCACCTGTACATTAGAATGTTTGTGTCGAAGAAATTAGAACCAATTTAATCTTCAAATTTATTAAAACAAAAACCAGTGCAATTTTATACATTTTAACACATGAGTCGCTATGGCAGTGAAACTGAAATGCAGTGTGAAATGTGCAGCAAAATAAGATGACACTGACAATGGGTTTAAGCAAAGAAAAGCTTCAATTTTTTTTACTTAGAACATTTTTCTTTTTTTTTTTCTGAAGAAACTTGCTTAAACAAGGACACAAGGGACTATGAGCACTTTTCATATATACAAGACTGATGTGTCATTAATGAAAACAATGAGACGGGAACAGAACTTGGTCTCCGTTGCCCGCTAGAACGAGTTTATATGATGGTTGCTGAAACTATTTACATGTTTTCCAGTCTGTGTACAAAATAATTCTCCTCACTCACGGACAAGGAGAGAAGCGCTACAGTGCAAATGTTTTGTTGCACACATTGTGAAACACTAAGGGTCAATAAATTACATGATTAGAAAAAAGCAAAACTATAAAACTCTCGGTTATATGACAGCACAATCCAGGGCACAAATGCCTTTGACTGCACCCCAGCTGCTGAGGTAGGAAAATAACGAAACTGTCGTATTAGGTGGCTCAAAGCAGTTATGAGCAAATGTAGTCTCGCTACAGTTTTCTTTTTCTGTGGGAATGTCAAACTAAAAATTGCACAAAAGAAAGCAACTTATAAGTATGCTTGCAAGAAACGAAAAGACTTCCCCACAAAAGTTAGTGAAGGAGGAAAAAAAACAAAAAAACACAGACATTAACAGCTGTTCATGTTCTGGAGAGAAACAAAACAGACACACAAAAGACAGCTCATAAAAAGAAGGGATTTTAAGCCGCAAGACAAAGCTGCGAGAGACTCGGAATGCCGAAGCGGTAGTAGGAGTGAACTTGGGGTGAGCACACATAACCGGGCAAAAACTACCAGTCTCCACAGAAAACCAACCGGCGTACCAGGTTTCGAGAATACCGGGTTATGCCTGCCCCTTGAAGGCTATCGAAGAGAAGACAAATGATGAAGCAGAAACGGGAAGAAAACAACCTTTAGGCCAGGAGGGAAAAAGAAGGATGCAGAGAGAAAAGAGACGGCCCGCTCAGGCTTGCACCAGCTCTATCAACTTGCTCTCCTTGAGCTCGACGGGCAGGCGACTCTGCGCGACAAAGCGGCGGCATGCCGAGTCTGTCACTTGCGGGCAGTCGCGGAGGTCCAGGTGGCGCAGCCCGGAACAGCGCCGGAGTGCTTCCAATCCGGTGTCCGACACGTTGGCGCAGCGCGACACATCCAACGCCGTGAGGCGCGAGGCCTTGGCCGCCCCGAGCACCGCGATGCCCATGTCCGTGACTCCACGGCAGTCCGACAGGTCGAGGCGACTCAGCTGGGGCAGCTGGTGGCCGAGCAGACGCACGGCCACGTCGGAGATGTCGCAGCCAGCCAGGCGCACCTCCACGAGCAGGCGGGGCTTGGAACGGGCGTCGGGGGCCACGAGGTCCCTCACGGCCTGGTCCCCCAGGCCCTCGACCCAGCTGAGGTCCAGGCAGCGAAGCCCCGGGCAGACGCCCGACCGCAGGGCGGCCACCACCGCCGCCGCCGAGCAGCCGCTCAGCCCGAGCTCCCTGAGGTGGGGCAGCCGGGGCAGCAGCCAGCTGAGCTGTTTGGCCGACACGTTGGTCCAGGCCAGGTCCAGGCAAGTGGGCTGGCGCCGTACGATGCCCGCCAGCGCGTGAGCAGTCACCCGGCGCCGCGACAGGTCCACCCGCCGCCACATGCCGGGCTCCACGCACCAGCGGTTCCAGGCCTTGCACACCAGCTGGCACTGCGAGAGCTCGCGGGGCGTCAGGTAGCGCAGGACAGGCAGCATGGCCTCTCGCAGCAGCGCGTAGCAGGGGCCCTTGGCGTCCGCCGGTAATTGGACGGCCGGCGGCATCTTGGCCTTCTCCAGGTCCTCGGGCAGAGGCGCAGGGCGGACTACGTAGCGGGGCTTCCTCAGGTTGCCCCTGTCTCGTAGAGTCATCTTGAGCTTGAAGTCGCCAGGGTGCGAGGCGCCGCTCAGGATGTACTCCGGGGGTGCACCGCCATTGGCAGTGGGGTTCCGGTCCTCCTTGTTCGAGTCCGGGCTGTCTGTCCGGGACACAAACTCTCCCCCTGGCGGGACGGAGAGGGGAAGGGCGGCGGCCTCGGCCGCCTCCGGCTCCGAGCCTTTGTGCAGGCCGCGCATGGACTGGACGATCTGGTCGTGCGAGCTCTTGACAATAACGGGCTTCTTGTCCGGTACAGCCACCGTGAGCCGGGAGCACGAGCGCACGTAGTCGTCCTTCCGGGGTCGGTTCAATGCGGATGCGTCAAGGCCAACGTTGTCCTTGCACATGTCCTGAAGGGGAAAGAAAGAGAAATACAGGAGGTGAGGATAGCTCAAAAGCATGACGTAAATTAACCCGAGAATCAACCGAGCAACGTATTCTGCTACACGGAGGGCACCAATTAATTAATGTCAAGTGTTATCTGTACTTAGCCCTTATCAAGCCGGAATGGAGGCATGCTGGGCAATATTCGGTCGCTCGCCTTGGTCGATTTCTGTGGACTGCCTTTCTTTACGAGAGACACATCTGGCTTTGGGCATACGCTTCCTCCGAGAATTTCGAGAATGGGCAAGTCTGCAAGCCCATGATCTAAAAGTCGGTGCCCCCTTTGTGGCGATCATTAGGCACAATGTTCAGTTCTAAAATGTTTAGTCGATGTAAAGGAGTATTAAGAATGAGAACGTCTCACAAATCCCATTTCCATTCCCTCCTAAATATTCCAACGATAGAACATACACTTGCATACCCTTTGGCTTATCTAAAAGTCAAGTGAAGGGTGGAGTTGGTCATATTGGGTGTCATAAACCAAGGAGCTCGCCCAAAAGAAAGTTCGGAAAATCATTGCCTGCACCTAACAAGCTCAATTTTTTATCAAACGTGTATTTTGGTGGTGCAATTTACCGCATGAAATTTCGAGGCGTGCCCGGTCCTGCGAAAAATGGGAGCGTCCTTGAAAAGCCTTGAACTTTCTAAAGGTACAACCCATCACTAAAATACGCTTTTGACAAAAATTTGAAAGTGCACTGAAGACGTTTCTGAGATTGTTTGTTCTTTGTGATAACTTATCATACGGGCTACAAGCATCCTAGAAATTCAAAAATTATGCTCGTGCCGTGTCTATTTCCCTACTCAAAATCTGACTGAAGATTGTGCCACGTCCCTTTTTGAGCAGAAAAATCTGGAGCACAAAATCCAGCGGAGGCGCCGGGGTCGTGACGACGGGCCTCAGTCAGTCCACACGCCTGTCTTCACTCCGCCGGCACTTCAGCAAGATTTTGTGCTCCAGATTTTTCCGGTCAGAAAGGGGAGTGAAACAAACTTCGATCAGATTTTTAGTAGGGAACTAGACGTTGCACGAGCATATTGTTTGGATTTCTAGGATGCGTGGAGCCCAAATGATAAGTTATTACCAAGAACAGACAATATTAGAAACGTCTTCAGTGCACCTTTAACCTCGGTACGAGAGGGCAGCAATTATTTTGGTACATTTAATAGTGAGCTCCTTGATCCATAACACCCTGCATCAGCCGATGCAGAGACACTCACCTCGTCACTGATGTCTCCATTGCTGGCGGCAGGCTGTACTTGCTGAACCGGGTCGTCTGACAAAGGCATGCCGTCGTACTCGAGGGGTTCCTGAGGTCCTTCTGTCTTGATCTGAGCCAGGAGACAAAGCACCAGGTTGCAGGCAATGGCACAGCAATATCTTGCGGACTCCAAATCAGATGTCTATAGATGTTGAATTTCTTCACTCTTCATCTTGAATTGATTATTATTTCTTCTGCAGACCTCAAAATCTGCCCCTGCCTTGCCTCCCTCTCTTTCCCCCCCCCCCCCCCCCCCCCCCCCTCTACTCCAAAAGAAAAGAATGAAGAGGCCAGGTTTTGCTTTGAGATGAACATAACCTCAAATTATGTTCTCGGAAAAATAGAATACACAAAACTTAAAACAATGTTGCTAGTACCGAACATTTGGCCACAACTCTTCAACAATACCCTTGAAAAAGAAAAAAGCGGCAAGATGTTTGAACTGTGAGGGCAGGCAGCTTACAAAGAAATTCGAAAAGATAGCTTTCATAAACAGGGCACTTTTTCAGCGGAGGCATTTGTTCTAATGGTCTTTATTTCAGTAATCCACTACGGCCCTGTCGCAACACCACTGCTTGTGAAACCCATTTAGCCACGCTCTCTCGGTACATTCGACGTCATCATGGGGTCACGTGACACTAACGTAACGTTGCGGGACATCATGAGGTCACGCGAGCACGTGCCAAGGTCATATAAGCAATGTTTCCCCTTGTGTGGCTACAATGCAGCGTGCATGAGCGAGAAGGAACACCTATCTGTACTTCTAGAAGAGCTGAGTTCGCTCTTACTCCGAGTGTAAAAGATAAGGAGGCCAACGTGACCTTGACGAGTCAGTCTCGCCCTAGCTTACTTCCTAACATTCTAGGTAGAATATTGGAGACAGAGTGTAGTAGATTAGAAGCCGAGCGTGGCCTTGCCGACTTCCTCTCCCTTTCTTGCAGTCTCGCTCCAGCCAGCTGCAACGCCGACACCGCGACGCTCATTCCTTTTTGTTTCTGGCACAAGTCCGCCGATTCAACCTTTATTTTCAGCTTTACGCCGGTTGATCATTTCCATCCACGACAATATTGCTTATATGACTTCCCCCGTGAGTCGGTCGAGCACACCGTGTCGCTTTTCTCGTGGAACCCCACGACACATTCTACGATACAACTGGGCCCGAAAAGGGCACCCACCTTCTTCTTGGCTGGCGCGCCGCAGACGTCCAGCTCGGAGGAGCTGAGTTCTGCGGCGGCGGCAGCTGCTTCGTGGGGCCGCAGAGTGAGGTTGAGCGCCGGGTTGCCGCGCGCCACGGGGGAGCTCCCGCCGGTAGCATCACCGCATGGAGTGCACTCTGAGTCTGGCCGGCCGTCATGTGGACCTTTCGACACCCTCCCTCGAGTGTGTCGTGGCTGCGAGGAAGAGACGGGGTGGGATGAGCTTGCACGCAGGGAACAGTCTCGTTGCCAACACTGCCGACAGGCATGTGGAGGCTTATGAGAAGCAAACGGGCTTGCACACTTTCAATGTGGGTGCGAGGAGCGTAGTTGAGTCAAATGCTCCTAGATAGCGGGGCTGCATTGCTGAACTTTTTGCTTCGCCTAAACGAGCCAAAGCACAGATTGGACGCAAGTACAGTTGGGTCTCACTCGTGTGGATGCCTCCACTACTCCCAAAAATCGCCCACAATGAGAGTTGTCCATAATGGGAAGTTTTAGAATAATGCAAGCAATATTAGCGCACGTTAGCGCTAAATTTAGCGCCTGCATTAGCGCATGCTACGCAAGAGTATTAGAAAAGTGTTCTTCCGCCGCGATGCAAAACCTAAGCATCTCACACTTGTAACACCACCAAGATACAGTAACAATTTTTATTTCACACATAAAATGCTGTAACTTGATAGAGAAAAAAAAAAAGAAATGTTTGGTTTAAAGTAGCATTTCAGATTTGTTTTAAGGGGAAACACTACCCAAAGAACTGCTTGATTAATCTCAATAAAAATTTCATGGCGAGATTATATCATTGCTGAGACCATCTGTACCAGATTACATCATTCTAGTTTAATTGTGAAAGAAGTTGCACATGTTGGTTGAGGAAAACTATCGTTTTGTACTATCGGTTTAGGAAAACTATCGCCACAGCAGATAACTGTAAAGTAATTTAGCAGATAACTGTAAAGTAATTTGTCAATGTCTTATCTTTCTTCATAGCAGACACTGTGTGTAATGTCCCGCTACATAGAAGTGTTTTCTCCTACGCACGCGGGTGCACTGCAGTGAAGCAAGACACGCAAAATTGCAACGTTTTACTACGCGGTTCTCGCTTCACTCCAGCACACCACTGCACAGTGACAAGCATACTCATTGATGCTAGCTATCCAGACAGAACAGACAATCAGCGTGAGAAATATTGCGAACCTTCCCGAATACTGTCAATATTTGATACGGAGATCAAATCGAATAACACATTATTTAAAAAAATAATCACTATTTTTGGAAATTCGCACGAGCCTACCGTAACAATCCGGCCACGTCACGGGGCCCGATTTATTGCATCTTGGCACTAATAAAGTGAAAACAAGATTTGCTGCAACGTTGGTGCAAATTCCTCACATTTTGACAAAATGTAGCAGGGTAAGCCGTTTGGTGCAAACGGTGCAGCATTCACATCACTGCTATCAGTTGACAAGCTCCCCGGAAGAACGTAGTTTGAAAGCGGTCCCTTTTTTGCCAATGTGACAGCTGATACGGGTGGATAGCGATCCTAGTGCCACCGCATGCACGAGCAACTAAGAAGGAGTGTACTGAATTTTGAAACACAAGCAATGTGCATTCAACGTTCCACCGGTTCCGTCGCTTCTGTCCGTACCAGCTGGGCCGGTAACGTGGCAAGTGTCACCGAGCGGACAATGCAACAAAAAGGTTCCAGGTGTTCTATACTTGTTTCCACCCCAAGAAAGAAAAAAAACAAGTATTGCGCATTGTTCATACGCCGTACAAAGTAGCTTTTGCAAGATTTGGTTGTTCGAGGAAGAAGCGATGCATTTGGCATTTAAAATGTGTACATCTTGAAAAGAAAAACATATCTAATCTAAAATGCACCTACATATATCTTAATTTTCCACATAAAGGGGGAAATATATAATGCTCTGCGAGGAGCCGGACTTTTTTTTTTTTTTACAATGGTTCTCGAGGTGAAAATGAGTATAGGAAGCTTGACAACTGAATGCACTCTATTAACGTTGGGTTTAACGACGCATAACTCTAAATGACTCTGCGACCCTCTCGCCGCACCACAGGCTCCATCCACGAGGGGAATGGGGCAAGAGAAACGGGGTCAGACCTTGACCTGGTCGGGCTTGCCGTCGCGGCAGCATTTGGGGCACTCCCAGCTGTTGGGCAGGTCGTCGCTGACGCAACCCTGGGCGCCCCGGAGGGCGGGGTGGCGCTCGTGCAGGCAGGCCGGATGCACAATCTCCCAGCACTGGGAGCACTCCATGAGTGAGGAGCAGGCCTCCTGGTCGCAGGGCTGCGGGGGCGCACCCTTCTCCCAGCCGTCCCGGCCGCATAGCATGCAGCACGCCGTGTGGGGCAGCACCGGCTGCACAAGAGGGGAGGGCCCGGGTGAGCGATGCACGGGCAAGAAGACGGCGGGGAGAGCGAGACACGGCAGGGCCGCACTCCACAAAGCAACGTAAACCTTAACGTTCGCCTCTCCACCGTGCGAGACAAAGGGGAGGAGTCCAAACTTTTCCCCATTGCCGGACAGCACAAAGCGCAGGAATTCCGATGCGTACGACTCCAAAAACGTTCGGAAGTACTTCTTTCGAGGTTTCGAATACGCTGTCGCGATGCGAAGCCGCCGAGACCGGGGCATAGACGTTCAACGAGCATGGATGCAGGATTACGTCGGACGCAGCAACTTGTCACGAAGGAAGTTTCAACAAAATCCGCGGTACCACGACTACACAACTAGAGTACTAGAAAAGGCGAGGGGATTGAATTTGGAGATGAATCCGTAGTCATTGGATAGACAGATAGTTGACACTACTACGTCTCCGCGGACAGAAACATTTATACTCCGAGAGTTTGGGCGACGGGCAGAGCCTGTCGCTTGCTAGAACAGATGGCAAACTTTACAATAACACACAATGGAGCACTTTGCTTTTGGCCATTCGGCATGCACTGGACCGAATGCACAGTTAGTAGTTGTTCTATAAAAAATTCCTTGTACTCTGACATTTTTTTATGACTGCAATTGGTCACTATATTCAAGCACCGGCCATCCTTCATTGATCTCCAAAAACAAAACCTACAAATAAGCTTTATTTGTCACACTGTCACCAGACAGGGTGACAAGAAGGAGAGTGATGAAGGACAGCACAAACTGCTTTGGATGGTTATTTTAGGTACTGAATGCAACTGAAATAGTACAATAACATGGAGCACATAAATTTATGTTTCCTTCAAGTTCTAAAGGTCGTAATAAAACTGCAATTTATAATTCAGATCATTTGTTAATGACATTTGATTATCAATGTCAATTGCATTTTATCTGTAGCACTTTATAACAAAAATGGCATGTGAATGAAACTTAAGCACAATCCCGCTGAACTCATTCAGGTTCTTTCCGAGATTCCATCCACTGCTCCTGTTAATTTAGTTCCAATTTACTTGCATCTATAGAAAAGTGATAGCTAAACAAATGAGTTGGCATAAATAAATAAACATACAAAAGAGTGCATATAAATGTTCTTGCAATACCAATGTACCCTTGCTAAATCTGGAATCGGAAAAAGGCACCGCCAGGATATCACTGTCAACCATATGTACGAGGCAAAGTTGTATTCAGGAATTGTTGCATCTCACTCTGGAGGAGTGCTTTCCCCCGTAAGGGAAAACATAAACCTAAATTTCAAATTATTTTTAAAAAAATAAATTTTCAATTTTGGGGTTTTTGGTTTTAGAAATTAATTATACACCCTTACACTAAATTTAATAACCATACCCCAGAGTTGATATAAAATATGTTCAACACATTGTGAGGCAGTAACGAAGTAAAGGAGTACAATGTTTGAATGCATCTTTCTCAGTTCCACTTTTAGCTGCAAATTTCATACGAAGGAATTTTTGTTCGAAGGTAAAAGTATTTTGATACGACAATCAAGATGTTTCTGAACTGAAATTTACTGGGGAATCGGGCTATATACTTTATGTTGTTTTAAGTTAAAGTCTTCATTAAAAAAAAAAAAAAGACTATTTTTAGAAACTGATGTAGGACAGATATGCAATTTATATTTGGAGTTAATCATTCTTCTTGAAATATTTACATTTGAGATATAAAAACTAGATAGCCCAAAGTACCAGATCCCCCACTTTATATTCCAGCAGTCAAAATGGTGCTCAATAGCTTCATTTGCATATCATAGATTTCTTAACAAAGAGGGACACATCTAATGGATGTATGTAAATTTGTCCTAGAGAGCGTAAAGTTTGCACGGTACACCTACATCTAACGTTAAATCGTTCCTGAAAATTTCATTACGATCATGCGAGTCGTTTTCAGAAGATAAATCTCTAACCAGTGTCCTCACCTTAGTTAACACGGGCGTGCGCTGCGGCGAAGCAAGACACGCAAAATTGCGATGTCTACTCCGCGGTGTTTCCTTCTCTGCAGTACAACAGTATGTGGTGAGAAGCGCACTCAACAACACTAGCTAACCCTCGAGAATGAACAGACGACTAACATGAGAATTATTGCAAAACTTCCGGATATTGTCAATCATTCATACGAAATGCAGTCGAAGAGTATATTTGAGACGATAATTAAAAGTTCTGAAAACCTGAAAGCTCGCATAAGCATCTCGTAACGGTACGGACGGGCAGCGAGGCCTGAGCTGTTATATTTTCAGTATTATTAAAAGGAAATTAAGCTTTGACGCAACATTGGTGCAAATTCCTTACATTTTGGTAAAATGTAGCAGGACGTAGCACTTTGGCGCAGTTTGGCACAAATGGCGCAGCAATCCCATCACTGGAAAGCATGACTCTCGTTCTTCCACTCCCTTAGTTTGTCTGCAGTGAACCGGTGTGGACAGCTATGTCGGCGGTCACTATATTGCGACTGCCGACGATATAGATGCCTCAGGTGCCGCCATGTTTCTCGGCGCCAAGAGGAGCGGCCGCTTCTGCTCCTCTTGGCTCCTTTTGGCTGTACACGTGTGCAGAGGCTTAGGGGGGAAGAGGTCCATCCTGACCTAATGCACGCGACTCGACTCGGGGCCGCGGTGCTTGAACACGAGGAGGAGGCGACGCCACTCACGGCCATGCACTGTCGGCTGATGCAGGACTGCTTCATGCGCCCGGGGCCGCCAAACTTCTTCATGTCCTTGCAGAAGTGGCAGTCCCCGCAGTCGGCACGCAGGCAGGCCTCGCACTTCTTGCAGCGCGTGCGCCGACGCCTCGCCCCGTTCTTGTCCTTGTCCGAGCCCCGGCCGCCCCCCTTGGACGAGTGCTTGCCCGACGGGGGTCCGCCCACCCGGGGCTTGCTCTTTTTCTGCACAGAAGACGGCCCCTTAAACACTCCTCGACCAATGGGGCAGGGACAAACCCTCTCGACAGACGTCGTGCGAAAACATGTCTGTTTGTGTGTTCAAAAATACGAGGTGTGCTGCTCTGGAAAGAGGGAGCCATGTATCAGAAACACAAAACTGGGGTAAATAAAAAAAGAAGTACAATAAACATTTTTAAAACCAGACTTGGGAGTTCACATGCTCACCTGCATCTTCTCTCTTCTTTCTCCGAGTAATATAACATTTTTAGAGTTCTTAACTTGAAACATTCTTTGGCTAGCTGCTCCGGACTTTGTGGAAGCTGCGTCCTGTGATTTAACATGACTTCACTTTGCCTGCCAGATTTAGCGAGGAAATTGACGTCACGTGACCTCAACGCATATTCAGTTTCTCCGTTAAATTTAGCGGGAAAAATGGTGTCACATGACTGTGTCACGTGACCAATACACAAATTCAGTTTCCGCGTGGCCTCGGCTTGCGTTATAATAATAATAATGTTTTTTTTTCCCTTTTTTTTGAAGGCATTAAAACTTGCTTTTGCGTTATATCCGTGCCAATAAGGTAAAAAGAATGGAAAATCTTGAACCAAGAACACACAAAGTGTAGTTCCTGTAAAAAAGACATTCTGTGCTCCCTGGTCTTTGTCAGCATCTAGCTTGTAGACTTTTAGTTTTTCCTCACACACCTAAATGGAGATACAGATGCCAAAACTACCAGCCTAACAGACTGTTCATGTTTGAAGCATCGGTGCAGGCAATGAAAGTCGCAGTTTCCATGCCATCGTGCATAAGCAAATTGTAACGAAGCATCAATATCATGTTTGGGCTAACTGCATCATGCAGCGAAGGTTCAAGAAAACTATGGTCTCCCAGTTTCTTGGGAAGAAACAGCGGCAAAGATACTTGGACAAGAGTAAAGGGACAAACACGACAGGACGGCACGTTAGATGTTCACCTCAAACCAACTAGCCCAACACGTTTCATTTTCTTTTCAGACTAAAATGCTCACAAACCTTGTTTGGAACCGAAACAGTCCAACATATAAAGCTTAATTGTATGAATTTACTTGCAGTCTTGATATGAAATAATGTGTATATATGCACAATATTGTAATTGCTTCTATTTCCTCAACTGAACAAAAATAACTTGCCAGAGAACTCTACATTCGCAAAATTTAGCTGCATTGGGATCCTCATATTGACATGGTCACTTTAACAATGCATTTTGCAAACGTGAATGATAGAATACTGACGCAATATTCCGCCGAAATAATTTGGAAATAACATATTTAGGATGTTCAAGGGAAGGAAGATAAATTTTCTTTGCACCAATGTTCAATCGATGCTTTCAAATTAACTGAAAACCAATTTTCTTCACACGACCCACTTCAAGACAAAGGTCTGCTCGTTCTGAGCGAACAGAGAAAACCTACCTTGCTCTCTGGCCAGAAAAGGACCGGCTTGTCGGTGACTGCAAGCAGTGGGTCGTCGTGCTTGTGCTCCTTCACCAGGCGCTACAGAAAGAGACAGGCGACGTAGAATGGGGGGTTGCACGCAGCAACGACAGGAAATGAGAGGACATGCACTCACTTTGGCGTCAGCCAACAGGGCGTCCGGGTCTCGGACAAGGTCTGGAACAAACTTTTTGTTGGCGGGAAGCTTTTGCAGCCACCGGATAATCATCTGGAGAAGACAAGAGTAAGGGAAGGTAGTAACTAAAGGTGGGTGGCTGCGACAGGAAATTTGGCAAACGAGCGAGGCTTCCCAAGAAAGGGCAGTGATGTTATTTCCCAGTCGTGCCTGGAATTTCAGTCAAAATAAATTTAAACTGCACAATAGATTATCTGACCTGATTTCAGGAGCAGCTGCTTACACAGTTCATATTTTCGGCTAATCTAGGGAAACTCTTAAAATCCGGCGGGCTGGCTAGCATCTAAATTGTGTTCGTAGACTGCCGAATTCGTACACAAAATGGAGTAAAATTGCGAGGGTTTATGTGCCAAACCAACGGGAGGCATTTGGCACTCCAAAACGGAGCTTTAGAGCATCACGAAAAGCATTTACGGAAACATTGTAACGCGGGTTAAGGGGAGACACTACCCAGAAAGAACAATTTCTGCAAAGAAAGCAGATTTTGAAAAAATGCCACTATTTACATCCACCAACTTTTTTGAGAGCGTTCCCAGAAAATTTCATTAGTTTACACTGCATAGTTAATTTTTTATAAATTATTTTCGGTCCTCCGATGCTAAAGACAAGGTAGGGGTTGGAGCACTTTGAATGCATTTTTCTCCATTCCACTTTTCGGCATAAATTTCGCTTTATGAAAACTATTGTTTTCCTATTACACAGTAGAAAATTATTCTTAGGTAATTTTCTGGGATAGAATTTTGTGAGGAACATGCCTGGCTGGTTAGTTTTTTCTACTTTAACAATCTTTTTACTAAGAAAGCTACATTAGTAAAAAAGTGCAGACAAGAAAACAAATGTTTAATCTTCTTATGGAGTTATACTTATGAAAAACAATGCAATATAGCAAAATAACTAGCTGGTATGTGCTATGGGTATTCCTATAACTATATTACACAGAAATATCACAATTTTTCTTTTTTTTAAACAAGTTTTTTATGTGAACACACTGACTTCTATATTGTAACATACGTTACAAGTTTTCGAACTGACACAGGACAATGAAATTTGCCAGGTATGGTCGTGCCACTCATATGACCTTCCACTGCAAATTTGAATGAAATCAAGCAAGCGGTACAGAAGTTCACTTTTCGGGGTAGTGTTTCCCCCTAACAGGGTCATGCGACCGCGTAACATGACATCGGGTCACGTGGCGTCACTTTGTTATGTTGCGGTGTCGCGTGACCCAACAATCTGTAGTTGGTGCCGCGCAACGCGCGACCACCGTCGCGTGATGTACAACGATCGCATGGTCGGTGCAACTATGGTCCACGTGATTATGTGGTCATGTGACGCGAGGTTAGGCAACTTGGGCAACAGTCCCTCAACCTGCATTGTGCATGATCTTGACTTTATACGTAGGAGACATTTCTTCACAAAATCTTTCAACCTTTCCGCCCTGGTGAAGAAGGAAGACCAGCGAAGCTGTTATATTTACGACGTCTAGGATGATGCCCAGAAGACTACATCTAGGACGACCTCAAGGGCGACTACTGGGACGACTTCTGGGACAACCTCAAGGACGATGCCTAGGACGACCTCAGGGACGATGTCTAGGACGACCTCGAGGACGGCTTCTGGGACGACCCGCAAGGACAACACTTAGAGAAATTCAACCTTTCCACTCTGGTGAAAACCAGAGTGGAAAGGCTGGAAAGGCTGCCGCCATCTATGAGCGACGGCGGCAACCAGACAGCCGGCAAGCCGGTTGTCTGGTTGGTACTGCTGCCTAGGGCGATACTGGGGAAACTAGCCCTTAACAGCTCCGCTGTAAAAACTTGTTCAAGCTAACATGGTGCCTACCCGGATCCCATCTATCTCCCTGCGTGTCAGGTGCACGTGGCCTGGCGCGTAGGTGCGCCTGCCCGGCTCATCGGCCGAGTCCATGGAGTCTTCGGCCTGCATGGTGGGACTCGAGCCGGGGTTGCCGTTGGTCAGGGGCTTGGGCGACAGCGTGCTCAAGTCCAGGAACGAGCTGCCGTCACCCGGTGCGCCCTGGCTGCCCAATGGAGCACCGGCCGAGAACGGCCCCCCTGCAGGAGACGGCCGGGACCCGGCGGCACCGCGTCGAGGCGCCTCCACGGGGTCCCCATCCTCATTGCATGTCAGGTGGTTGATGCCCAGCAGGCACTGGACATAGCGCTGCAGCACGTACCACAGCATCTCCCGGTAGAATGGGTAGCGGAACTTCAAGGGCACCTGCGCGCAGTGGCAACTTGGAATGAGTGGCATTCATAGGGCCGACACTGGGCACTTACAATACGACTGCAACTAAATTATTAACAAGCAACAGCCATAAGATGAGATGGTACAACCAGAAACCAAGAATGCAAAAAAAGAGATAACACACAAAAAAGACAGAGTGGAAGATAATGTTGAACATGAGAAAGAGAAACAGCGGCACAGAGAACGCCAAGTCAAGATCTGGGGAAAAACCAAAAGTAAGACAACAAACCTCAAGGTCATTGCTGTGCGCCATACTGTTTTTTTTTTTTGTTTTTTTTTTTTAAGATTTCAATGTTTTTGATGTTCCTCCTGAAAACCTTTCGAGATAAGCAATGAGTAAATGCACTGTGCCCATGGGAGTTCATTCCACCACAAGGAAATCTTTCAACTCAACCAATATTTCATGAGAGCCAAGTTCAAGCAAGGAATTACTATATCCGCCGCTGGCAATATGGCGGCTTCGTGTAGAAGCAAAGGCTGGCACATTAAAACAAATATGTCGCAGGGGTTACTGCAAGTTACTTAATTTTTGTGAATTTTGCGAGATGAAATTTGTTTGTGAAATAATCGGTCTTGCAAATATATCACCCCATAATAAGGAAAACACAACTTATCACTCCAAATCGCGTAATGTTTTGCCCACAAAATATTCTTTAAATTAACACTTTCTGAAAATTGCAAAATATTGAGCTCGTGACAGTAGAGTCGTTTAAATTATGTTTCTCGTTCAATTTGCTGATGAGAACATTGAAATAGGCTCCCGCTTGCGTATACATCGCAATCACAGTACCAATGTGCAGGCATACCAGTGCAGTTTCACTGTGCTAACCCCACTAACTGTGAATACCGACATTTTCACAAAAACGGCGATTTATAGAGATGCAATTTATCGGCCGGAAAATGCGGTATTTTGACTCCGGCATTAAATCTCTGCATATTACTCAATAAATTAAAGAAAAGGAGATATGCCAGAAGACAAGACTAGCAACTGTAAAATAGACTAACAATAATCTCCCAAAGCAAATACCCCCTCAAGAAGAAACTACCACCTTCTGCAGAACAAGCAATGCGTTTACCGACCTACACGTCACAAACAATGGCCTCAAAGAGCTGTCGACTCGGCGCGAACAGTCGCCTTTTGCAAGAAAACGCTCCCACGTCAAATCTTCCGCGCATGCTCGCAACACAGGCGTATCACAAACAAACCACTCACGTGTGTGGCATCTTCTATCTGGGCAATCTGGAGCTGTTTCTCGATGCCGTAGCTGTGCAGAAAGTTACCCCCAAACACAAGCGCGTCTACAGGTGTATAGACGGCATGGATCCAGCCTGAAGCAAAGAAAGAAAGAGACCAATTGTGTCTTATTTCAGAAAGACTCAATCGTGATGGCCATTATTAAATTTTCTTTTCAAGCTGATGTGGGAACGGACGACAGAAGGTATACCATTACAACTGTCCCCATATTTGCAGTTGGTTTCGGATAAAGCAAAGGCCGGTCACACATCTGCGTTAAACCGTGCCGAGTGTGCTTTGATCTCTTGCAGCCGCTGGCACACTGGCGCCCTCTATCGGCTAGACCAGGAACATCTCAAACCCATGCTGCTTACATATTCAGAGATATTTGAGGCCCACTATAAAAGAACCAAGCGTAAAAAGATTATAGAAAATATACACGGAGGTCAGAGTGGCTACCCGACGTTCCAGCAGTTGCAACAAACTCAGCACAGTCAAAAGCAAATGCATGAACTAGCTTTAAGCTAGCATGGCTCCCAATGTTATTGCTGACGTTTGTAAACTACACTACCCTACTGGGCTTTCTTCTAAATTTTACAACCGTTTTCCTTTTTCACTGCTTTATGCAGTTACCTTTCTCTGCAATTAAGGTTTAAAGTTATATTCGAAAAATATGCGGTACATTTTCTTTGAACGATTATCTTTAAAACTACTCTATTAAAGGGTAACTCTGGTATGTGCTCGAGATTCTAGGTTTACGACTGTTCTTAGTGATGAAGGGCCCTTAATTATAGCATTTTTTTTTCATTTTTTTCAAAATGGCTTCTGTAGTTTTGTTGACATCTTATCTTAAAGTTTTGTTTAGGTGGTCTACGGCAAAGCCCTTGTGATCAGTTGCACGGCAATCGTGCAATACAAAGTTTGTATTGCAGTACCGCAAAATGTACGACTGGCCCAGTCGTGAGAACAGTTTCGATCAATCAGGTAACGTGCTATGGCTGTTTTACTGCTTTACTTTTCAGATCTTTGACATCATTAGCAAATGTTAACACATTCATAAAGCTGCCGGCCAAAAAGCGAGTTTTCCACGATGAAAGACGGCGCAGAACGAGCCCCCACTTCTGAAAATAGCCACAATCTTGGTGGTGAGCAATGCACGTTGCTGAAGCACTGTGGAAGCTAATTGTAAGCTCACGCTGTGCAGGAATGAACTAAACTATGGCTGCCAGTGAATGCCTTCATCTGCACCTTGATGCACTTGAGCTAGCATGGTGTCAATAACCTCAGTGCGCGATCGCTGAGGACACAGGAATGGCCATCCCAACTAACTCTTGCACGGCGTTCACGCTTCCGGGACTGACGTTCGTTCTTCAGATGGAAAAACCTGCAGCTTTACGCCGTAGCGTGCAAAGAAACGATGGTGACAAGTCGGTGAGCACAGGCGTTCACGCTCCACTTTGAAATGGCGTACCCGTATTCCACCCCATTTGGAAGGTGTCCCAACTTTGCGTGGCCTCCCCACGTGCTCACGCCGAAATCCAGAGGAGAACCGACATGACGCGACATGGCTCCTCCTTTACAAACGTCGTGAGGCAGGAGGCGGCAGGCCCGCGACACCGCCAGTGATAGACAATCGTTCGTGGCTCTCCCCCCTCGAACCGGGCATGTGGGGTAATACGTCGGCCGACAGATTAAACCAGAGTTTTCTGCCTAGCGCAAGGCCAATGCCGCGAATGCAGCTGGGAAGTCCATACGACGGCTATTGGCATAAAATAACCTGGAAACTTTTCTTTTCTAAAACGGATTCCTCTGCCTTCTTTTGAGGAAATGGCACGGGCAGATGAAGGGGCATGGTGGCCTCACCCGTGGGTATGAAGAAGGTGTCGCCCTCGTTGAGTGTGACGCGGTCGCACTTCTCCACGGTCTCCCCGAAGAAGACGTCCCCCTGCTTGCCAGAGAGCACCCACTGTTCGTACAGCTGGAAGTTGCGCTTGGTGGGAGGGATCAGCCAGAACACCTGTGGGAGACAGCACGAGAGGGCTTTCAAAACGTGCGCTAACAGATGCAAGACAAGAAACCTCTCCAGTGCATTACCGCAATATTCCGAGAAATAGCCCAGCAAAAATCAAAAGCAAATTGGGTGAAAATATGGAGCGGTGCTAACTTTCAGTGTACAGTTGAGAAAAGTTGAAACAAGTAGCGTTTTAGGTCATGCGTCCCTTCTAAGCTTGTTATGGTGGCGAGGGGCAACGAAGCAAAGATGACTGTACTTTCCAGTCAGCAACGTTCCCTTATATCCTGCCATAGCTAACTGGCTGTATTTACGCAGAGGCCATCAATGATCCCAACACTACTATTACTAGAAGTGGGCTATCTATCAATGTTTAAAAAAATATAGCACGTCAAGCCAAAAATAAGGGTGGGCTATCTTTTGGGGGTAGAGCATCTCTCAGGATTTCACGGTAGTCCCATTCGCACGGCGAATTGGTCTATTTCTCGTACAACTGGGAGGCAGGCTGCAAGACTTGACTGTGATCCGAACTTGACACAGAACAAAACGGTCCAATAGGCAGTAGTCGAGCGATGTCACGACTCTTTGTTCGCCTGCTGTTTGCCATTGCCGAGAGCAACGCTGGCAGTGCACTTCGATGCGCTTGGAGCATGTGCGGAATAGTGCGGAGATACTCTTCTACTTGCCGGTCTCAGCATGTGTCGAGTGGTGCTCTTGCAGTTCGGTTTCTCAAGTTTGTTTTCCTCGAATGCTCGTTTATTTTTTGCTGCTCTCTAGGCTCTCTCCGAGGAGGAGGGGGCAGCCGGTGGGAAAACGTTAAGTCAGGCGCCAGTGGCAACGTGCTTCGAGTCGTCCTAAAATTGAGACTTAGGGGTTTCTGATGATGCTGGCGATGAGATCGGTCCGAGTAATTTTGGAGAACTTTTAGAGCAGCAAAAGAACTATTGCAGCACGAGTGCACATTTCGTCTTGATTCGTATCCCTGCAAACATTGTGTCAAGATTTCCTGTGTTTGCATGTTGAACTGAAAGAGAATGCTACTTTGCTTTTCCACTTTCTTAAAACCTAATACAGTAAAACCTCGTTATAACAAAATGAGATATAACAAACTAATGGATATAACAAAGCAAACATAATTCCCCTTGCTTGCTAATAGTGGGAAGAAATGGACATTGGCTATAACAAACGAATGGTTATAACGAAATAATTACGACCGCTCCTTCAACTATACTATAACGAGGTTTTACTGTATTACCGTCACCTGTACGGCATGTTTGATTCTCTCGAACACAGAAAAAACTGCTTAGTTGTACTCCAAACACGGCAACAAGATGGTGATTGATGAAGGACTGTATCAACTCTATTGCATAGTTATATTCCACTGAAATAATGTCAAAATAAAATAATTCAGAGCACTCAAATTGATGTTTCGTTCAAATTCTAAAGGTTCTAATAAAACTGCAATTACTAAAACAAATAAAAAAAAAACATTTTTGTATTTGATTATGAACATCAATAACATTTGATATGTAGAACTTATAACAACAAAAATCAACATGTGAATGATAAATATGCCTTCTTAAAGGGCAACTCCGCTCAATTCCGAAAAATGTAGGCTTATATGTGATTCCAGCAGCACAAAGCACTACTAAACAGCGTCTTCGGCTTCGCGAAATATGAAATATTATTTGTGTAATCCTAATTTAAGCTACAGCTGAAACCGAAACTTCGGTTGTGTCAGGCAATATTGGTCTCGCGTCGTCAGACATGGCCACGTCACGTCAAACCACGTGGTCTTGTGACGTTCGGGGGGGCGAGGGACAAGACACACGACGCGGGTAGGTCGCTTCGCATGGCGGGGGAGAAGATGAAAGAGAAGGGGAGCGGAGAAACAGACTGATAAGCGCGCAGGGCAGCGCAAACTAGCGCATCCGCGTTACGGTGATCACATGGACGCCGTTCAGCCAACACTGGAAGGAGAGACTCATGACGTCATCGTTCAATTTCGCTTCGAGAAGTAAAAACAAAACGTGAGAATGATGTAGTCATGCCTCTGACGTAGTGGCTCAACGTTGGCCGCTCCAACTCTGTCGCATTGACTGCGCTGACGATTGCGCCTCACGTCGCACGCTAGAGTTCGCAGATTTCGGCGACTTGGCTCACTTGAAGGTCGGAATTAGATCGTAATATTTGCCATGGGGTCCCTATATGATACTGAAGAGGGATACAGTTTTCTAAATATCAAAATTGAAGCGGAGTTGCCCTTTAAGAACAGTCCCACCAAACTCGTTAAGGTTGTTTCCAAGTTTCTGTCCACTGCTCCAGCTAATTTAGTTTTAACATACTCTATTGATTGTGTCATCAAATATATATGAAGCCATATAAAGGTAAACCTACCTATACAGTAGTCCATACAAATATTTTAGCAATACTCAAATATGCTTGCAAAATCTTGATATGAAAAAAAAAATGTAGAGCCCTTGCACTTTACATGAGGATGGAGGATCAGCGAAGCTGTTATCTTTACGATGTCTAGGATGATACCTAGAGGACGACGTCTAGGATGACCTCAAGGACAACTTCTTGGACGACCTCAATGACGACGCTGTCTAGGACGACCTCAAGGATGACTCCTAGGATGACCTCAAGAAAGCCTAGAGGACAACGCCTAGAACGCCTCAAGGACGACCTCGAGGACATCGTCTAGGTCGACCTCGAGGACATCGTCTAGGTCGACCTCGAGGACAACGTCTAGAGCGACCTCGAGGACAACGTCTAGGGCGACCTCGAGGACAACCTCGAGGACGTCTAGGGCAACCTCGAGGACAACGTCCAGGGCAACCTCGAGAACAACGTCTAGGGTGACGTCGAGGACAACTTCTAGGGTGACGTCGAGGACGACGTCCAAGACGACCTCGAGGACGACGTCCAAGACGACCTCGAGGACGACGTCCAAGACGACCTCGAGGACGACGTCCAAGACGACCTCGAGGACGACGTCCAAGACGACCTCAAGGACGACGTCTAAGACAACCTCAAGGACGACCTAAAGGACAACCTCGAGGACGTCCTCAAGGATGATGCCTAGAGAAATTCAGCCTTTCCACTCTGGTGAAAACCAGAGTGGAAAGGCTGGAAAGGTTACCGCCATCGCTCATAGATGGCGGTAGCTGTCTGGAGTTTTGTGTCGACACGTCGCTTGTCTGCGAACACTATACTGGGGAAACCAGCCCTTAACAGCTCTGCTGGAAAAATCTTGTCAGAGTATTGCAGTGTATTATGTAAAGTATATACCTACATATAATAGCCACAGCTTTATTCAGAAATCATGTATCATCCTACTCTAAAAGGATGCTTTCCCCTTAGCATGCAGGTGCGCTACGGCGAAACAAAATCTGCAAAATCACTGTCCATTTTTTTCAGTGGCCGTTTCGCTGCAGTAGATCAGTGGGTGGCAAAAAGCGAACTCAATGAAGCTAGATAACCTGACAGAACAGAGCATGCACATGAGAAATATTGCGAAACTTCACAGAATACTGTCAGTGTCTAACAGACATGAAATCAAACAGTACAACATTTGACGCCATAATAGAAAGTTCCGAAAATTTTTACAAGTTTACCGTAACAATCTGGCCCTGTAGCGGGGCCAGAGCTATTATTGTATTTTCCAATGTATCAGTCGCGGTTTTTTTCAAACATTTTTCTTGATGCGTATTATACAACAATGCGACTGGTGCGAGTTTTTTTTTTGTTTTTTTAATTCACAGCGCGACACACTATTTTTTGTGTGCCACACGCCATGTTTCATTGAGCACCGTAACTAAGTAGCCATAGGTGGTGTCGCTCCTTCCAGACGGCACTGCTGTCGCCGCACATTTCTACAAGCGAGAAATTTTAGTTTCCCCGGAGCGGCTCAATATGGATCGGCAAGAGTGAGAATAAAAAATTGTAGAGCCCTTCCACTTCACGTGAAGATGGAGGACCAGCGAAGCCGTTATCTTTACGACGTCTAGGACGATGCCTAGAGGACGATGGCTAGAAGACGACATCTAGGACGACTTCTAGGACAACCTCTAGGACGACTTCAGGAACGACCTCGAGGACGATGCCTAGAGATGATAACAAGGGATCAGGACCTTGTAATAAATAAACAAGGGATCAGGACCTTGTAATCTAATAAAGCCAAGGAAGGCTGACTCACGATGGTTGCCCCCTTTGTTTTATTTTTATTTATTCAAACTTGCCACGACCAATGGGGAGTTTCCTGTCAATATCTGCGGATGCATTTTTTGCCAGGTCCTAGCACGTAACAGCTTCGCTGTAAAATTTTACAGTATGTGATCGACATTGCCTTTCAGCCTGGTTCCGCATCCTTTTGCTTCAGTCCAGTAACACTGAAAGCTAAGTGGGCTGGTATACGTGCATCGCAAAAAAAGTTTCTCGCTTCTTTCTTAGTTTTCGTTTGATGAGCAGTTTTTATCTGCCATGCTCCAGCAGTGTTGCTACATGTAAAAGAAAGGATTGCAGCTAGCCAATCTTTTAGCGAAACTGAAAGAAGTTTGTAAAGATTTATCCACCTGCCAGCGCATCAATGCTCACGTCGTCTCGGCGACTTGGCCTAGGCTAGGCCTAGGCCAAGTCTGCCAAGACCAAGTGCAAAACCTGGTCCATGAGTGTCTGGCACGTTAAACTTTCGTTCACTCGGCATATGCACGCTCGAATAAAGCCGACTACCTTCTCAATTTGCACTTTTTACGTCCTTTTGCTACGAAACATTTGATTGCCTCTGCCAGACAGCGCCGTGCTATGGGCATTTCTAGCGTGACGAAACATCAAAGTTGTTGTGCATCAAATGGTATGTGCGAACTAGCCGATTGCGTGAAACTCAGATTTCGTGACACCAATGCGCATAAAACGAAAAAACTCATCGCGTGAATAGAAGCAACCTATACAAAGATGAGACTTATATACCAACTTTTGTGCGAAAATGGCTCAATATACGGAAG